TGATAAAAGCTGTTTGGCTTTGTTAGTGTCACTATCTTGGCTGTGATTTATAGAAAATTCTATAATGTTAATGTTTTTTTTTTCCTTTTTTTCCAGATTTGATGTGGCCAGTATGATGTCCGTTACACTGAGCTGTGACCATCGTGTTGTAGATGGAGCTGTTGGAGCACAGTGGCTTGCTGAATTCAAGAATTTCCTTGAAAAGCCAGTAACCATGCTGCTATAATTGAACCATGCAAAGCAAAATGTTCCTGGGTCACACTGTTCTGTTTTAAACAAGCTATTTAGACTTTAGTATTCAGACTTATTAAAGAGTTCCATTTTTTATTTTAAATATGTATTATATTATCTGGTAATGTTCTTACCAGTCTGTACAGAGAAAAGGTTTGCAAAAATGATTTTCAAGGCAATATTACATCTATTCTGTATGTTTATACAGTTGGTTAACTTGCAAACTCTTCCAAAACAGTTTAGCATCCCAGATTTAAAAATGATCCAGGCAGTATGTGTGCTGCCATCTGCTTCTAAACTAGGTTGGATGAGGTGGGAGTGTATATCAGGTAATTTCATGATCTCTGTTTTCAGAAATTTGGATTGCAAACATCTCTCCACAGGAGTTCAGATGAGATGGTAACTGAAACACAGGAGGTGAATTCCCTTATTCTGTTCTCTTGCTGGGATGGGTGGCAATGGCAGATGCACTAAGGGACTAAAGCTGCTGGGAATAGTTTCTCAAAGGCCAAGTGTTAGCATTCCAAGTCTCTTTTGGAATTTAGCACTGGCTTGGACCTTCTCAGCTTTGGGATCCCTTCTGAGCACTTTAAAGGTGAAAGAACACATTTACCTGTGGTGTCACATCTCAGGCATCACAGGGAACGTGCTGTTTTGTCACAGACTTTCACTTATGTGTGCTTCTCATATGAAGACTGCTTTAATTGCTTTTCCTCTTGCTGGGTTAGTATCAGACTATGATTCCATGGAAGTAACTGTTCTGCAGAATTTTCAAGAGACTTTGTGTGTTGGAACCCATGTAGGCAAATCACACGTGCTCATAGTCCCACCAGCGAGTGTTAATCATGTGTGATGCAAACATTTGAAAACTTTTTCAGGCATTCTAACATAGAGTGCATTAGTACTGCAGTTCTGCTCTGAATTGTCTGTGTTGTCCCAGCCTCAGTAAACTGCAGAATGTACTATCCATGTATATATTGTATGTAAAAATGTTGGAATTGCTCGTTGGACTTGAGTCGTTACCCCAGTCATTGTATCCTGAAAGGGGTGCAATGCTGAACGTGCTCAAATTCCACTTTCCACATGGAAACGTTCATGTAAAAAGGAGGATTGTGTAGTAACTTCAGTATGACCAAGAGAAATGAATAGGGGGGGAGAAGTTAACCAAAAACTGAACCAAACCAAAAAAAGATGAAACTGATTTGTCGTTCTGTATATCACATTAAGTACTTTCCCCTGTAAAGTTCTGCTACAAAACTCACTGAAGATAGTGGAAGAAAATACTGTGGAAATTAAATATTTTTGTGGGAACTATTTAATGTCTGGTTGCTGTGATAGCTGGTTTTCATGCCTGGCTTAAGCAAAAAAGTGCATTATGTTTTGGAGGTTGTTTTTTTTTTTTAATGATCTAAAATATCTGGGTTCCAGACTTGCTCTAGTGAACCTGTGTTCTATTAAATGTTTTGAACTACTAAAACATGTTGCAGTGCTTTTCTGTTGAGTTGTGTGGCTGTTTGTACTGCTGTGGCACAAGCAGAGCTGTTCAGCCATTACATCTGACAGTGATACTCGCCCTGTTAACCTTCAGTTATAGATATCCCAAGATAGTCATTAAGCATGGGATATCACACAGCACTGAGCTTGAGTCTTCCCAGCTTCCTTGCTGCACTGCTCAGCAGCAGCTCAAGTTCTGAAAGCTTTAGCTTTCTCCCTGCAATAAGAACAGTAAATAGCAGCTACACTCTCCAAATGACTTGGAATAGGATTTGTTGGGCTCCAAGTCTGATCCATGTGTGTGCTTACAGTGCTGCTGCTGACACACAGTGCTGCTTGCTGACCTGATAGCTGCAAATCCCTGGGTACTTCTGTACAGCCTTCTAAGTTTCAAAGAAACAAAGGAAAACCTGGGACTTTGTGGTCTTTCTGGAGTTTGCATTTTAAAGTTGCAGCTTTTGTTTGTCTGATCTGTGATGTAACAATCATCACTACAATAACGTGATGTTGTGTGAATTTGTCATAGGCGCTAAGCTCCCTTTTGTTTTCCCCCTGGCAGTGACTATCAATTGTTCTTAGTAACCTTTGAATTTCTTTATTTTTCTGTAAATGAATGCAGGTGGCCTTCCTGGCTGAAATGCTCCAAAATTGTTACTGGTTGCTTCCTGCCTGTGCGTCCCAGAACTTCAATTCTTACGATGCTTTGAACAGTACGAAATCTGTTGTTTCCTGGTCTCATTCACAGATTTCTAAACTGAAAAGAAGTGAGGGCGGGCATAGTCAGTGACATAACTACAAAATATTCCAGTGAAGGTCAACAGGAATTGTCTGTAAGCAAACAGGAGCACACGCAGGACTTGGAGAACTGTGTATGATGCCTCTGCTGGTTGCTGCAGCATGAAGTACACACAAGAGCTGCTCTACCCACATCAATCCAGTAAGCAAAATAATCTATTTGACAACAACAACAACAACAAAATGCCTGCTACTGCTGTATATTAATGATGTAGTAGGTGTATGTGTGCATTTACATATAACTATTAATGTATTCAATTATTTCTTGAGTATTTACAGTCTTATGTTTTCCAAAGCTCAGTGGGCCACTATTCCTCCTGACTTCCTTTTCTACATATATCTTTGAGATAAACACTTTTGAAGATGAGAAGGTCCATTAACTCATTACTAACCAGGAGTCAGGATTCTCATTCTGGGCTTTTGTTTAGTTCTGTCATCTGAGAACACAAATTATACAATGCAGCCCTTATTGCCCAGGCTTGGCAACAGGTGCTGTGATGAACAACACCCCTTTTCCTTTAATAAATACAGCTGTCGTCATTTCTTCATCTACTAATTCTGGCAGATCTACTTGTAATTTGTATTTTTCAGGGACATCAATGATCACATCATCCTAAAACAAGAAAATAAGTGATTAACTATTTAACAATGAATTAGCAATAAGTATTTCTAAGAATGTGATACAGACAGAAAAAGCGAGGTTATTCTTTTTTGTCTTACCTTGGAAATTCTTAGATCACACTCTGAAACAGAGCTAACCTCAGGCAACTCAACTTTCAGTTTAATTCTTACTGGCTTGTTATTTGCATCCCTCACAGTGGTCATTTCGTAGGCAGGGACATTGAGCTCCTCTGGCACTTCTGTACTGCTGATTTCCTCTATCAGTTGCACTTTAGGCTGTGTTACACTTTCTTCCTTCAGCAGGACAGGAGCGTCGCTGCAGTCCTCAACTTCCATGCTGCGCAGCAACTGATCGAGTGTCAGTTCTTTGAAGAAAAGTGAGGTTTTTACATGTCAGTCAGTTACTAAAACTGAAACATTGGCTACTTGGCAAATACATCAGACAAATTTCAGCTGTGCGATTGCCACTTCCGTCAGGCAGACCGCTGCTTCTCGTTCCCTCACAACTTGCTTTCATTGCCAAGCTGTTAAGAGTTGCTGTTTTCAGAGTACTGGTTACAGCAGCAACCTCTTCTACTCACTTTAGAGGAAAAGAAACTTGGCATCACAAAGGATCAGACCCTGGCAGAGTTCCCACGTCTAGTGATTACAGGAAAAGGGAATTTGGTCCTTCAGTATCACTAGTTTCTTAACCCTAAAATAAAGGAAAGTAGAGACAAGCACCACCAACAAATGCAGGCAAGCAGCAGTCTGGTATGAATCCTGCCCTCTTACTCAATTTACTTTTTTAGAAGTGTTTGGTTTATGCTTAAGAAATGGGGTCAGAGAGGTGAAGGCTAGGGATGCTGTAGAGGTCAGGCCCTTAAAGACAGTAGAAGCAGCTCTCCACTTACCCTTCTCTGTGTTCTGACCGAGGTGGGGTGGTGGCAGCTGCCTGCCTTTCAGTCGTTGCCACATCCTTTCTGGGCTTCCTTTCAGCTTGAAAGATTCAATTTTGTATGAACGTGAAAGACTAAGGTTGCATCGTTCCTCTACGAATTTCAGCATTAAATGAATCAAATGTTCCATTGCTTCTGGGTTTTCTTCCCTCCTCTGCAGAACATCTGGGTTATATGCAATATCTATAACGCTGTAAGAGGCTACAGAAAACAAGTTGTGTCAGGAATACTGCATTGGCACCACATCCTGCGGAATCTGCAGTCCCCATCCCTGCAGGCACTCAAGGCCAGGTAGGATGGGGCCCTGGGCAGCCTGAGCTGGTGGGGGGCAGCCCTGCCCATGGCTGGGGGTGACACTGCCTGGGCTTTGAGACCCGCCTTCCCGTTCGGGGTTCGTTCGGCACGGAGAGCCGCGCCCGCCTTCCCTCCGGGCCCCCCGCCCGGCGCAGGGCACGCACCTCCCCCGCCCGCCGCCGCTTCCTCCATCGGCCCTGCGATGACGGGGATGCGGGCCCGGGGCTCGGTGGGGGCCGGCACCCGCCTCCAGCCGCAGACGTTGACGAAGAGCGGCCCGCAGGAGGCTCGGAGCTCCCGGCGCCGCTCCCCCGCGACCGGCAGAGCCCGCACGCACAGCCGGGGCTCGGGACGGGCGCAGAACCGCTCCGCCTGAGCGCGCCGCTCCCGCAGCAGCCGGCGGTAAGCCTGCGGTTCGTTCTCCGCCATCTCATCCAGCAGCGCCCACAGCCCCAGCGCCGCGTCCGCCATCGCCTAGCGACGGCGACCGGAAGTGCCTCCCTTCTTCCGGTCCCGGCCCGCCCGGCGGCGGCACTTCCGGCCTGGAGCCGGGATCGGACCGGGCGGCGGCGGCGCGGATCCGCCGAGCTGCGTGCCGAGAGCGGGAGGGACGGAGGAAAGAAGGGAAGAAGGAAAGAAGAGAAGAAGGATGTCCCGGGTGCCGGTGGGGAAGGTGCTGCTGCGGAACGTCATCCGGCACACGGGCGCGCACAACAAGGTACGGCCCGGCCGCGGGCGCTGTGGCGGTGCTGGGCGCTCGGCCCCGCTGCGGCGCGGCTCCTGGGGCAGCGCGGTGTGGCGGCAGCGGGGCTCCGGCTGCGCTTCGTCGGCTTTCAGATCGTGTCCGCGCGTACCGGCGGCGTTGCGGTGTGGGGCGTGGGGAGCGCGAGGTCCGTCCGCGCGCCTCCGAACGGCTGGGCTCACATTCGTGGCACCGCCGGCTCGCAGACCGAGCCAGGAGCTCAACGTGTTCGGCCGTTCACTTTTCGCGATTTTCAGATCCAGGAAGAGTCGGAGATGTGGAAGATCCGGGAGTGGGAGAAGCAGGCGGAGGAGACGTTCTGGCGGCGGCGGAGCAAAGTGCTGTCGGACTCCTCCAGGTGGGCTCCGCACCGCGGGACGCGGCTGAGCCCCTTTGTCACAGCAAGAGGGCGTGTTGTGATCACTGTGCCTTAGTAACGTATGGAGAACATCGTGGTTATATAGTTATATTTTCACCTGCGAGAGTTCGGACCAGGGCTTAAATCTGACCTTTCATCAAAGAACCACAGAACTGCAGAGGTTGGAGAGAATCTCACCGAGTCCAGTGCCTGCTAAAGCAGTTCTCTATGCAGGGTGCACAGATGGGCATCCAGATAGTTCCTGAATATCTCCAGAGAAGGAGACTGCCATCTCTCCTCTCTGGGCAGCCTGTTCCATCACTTAGACAGGAAATAAGTTCTTCCTTGTGCTCGTATGGAGCTTTCTGTGTTCCATTTTCTGCCTATTGCCCTTTGTTCTATTGCTGCGTGCCACCAAAAAGAGTTTGCTTCTATCAACTCAACTCCCACACTGCAGATGGTTATAAACAGTGCTGAGTGCCCTCTCAGCCCTCTCTTCCCCAGGCTGAACAGCCCAGCGCTCTCAGCCTTTCCTCATGGGAGATGCTCCAGGTCCTCTTCATAATTTTCAAAATTTGGCTGGTGCTGATCAAACTGCAATTTCAGTCAAGTCAGTTCTGTTCCCTGAGTTCCCCATTTTTTGTGTTTATAACAGCTGTGTATCACTGCAAATTGTCAGGCTCCTGCAGAACTGTTTGTTGTGATAGGTGAGGTGACCCCTTCTAGTGCAGTGCCTTGAGCATCCCTGCATGCCAGGAATTGTGCTGTGTGCAGTAGGCAGTAATAAATGTGAAAACGGCTGTTAGTTACTGAACTGGTTCTATAAGAGCTCTAATGATGACTGTCTTTTAAAATGATAGTTGGTCTTCTTGCATAGATGGACACCCAAGACTTGCTGGATTTTTGCTTCCCTCGCTGGACTAACCTCTTGCTCAGAAAGTTTCTCCATCAGAACTGACAGCTGAAGGACAACTGTTCTCTTTCTGCAGCAGTCGGATGCGCAGTGATGGCTTTGATGAGGAGGGCCACAGGGCTGACTGGAAAACAAAGAACTCCCGTTTTCTTAACCCAGTTGAAGATGATCTTTTGAGAGCACGGTCGTGGAATAAAAAGCTCTACGAATGTGAAGCCAACATGCCAGACAGGTCTGTGGAGGGCATTAACATTCTGTGACCATAATTGTAACTAGAGCATCTTTCAAGAGTCATAGAATCATAGAATGGCCTGGGTTGAAAAGGTCCACAATGCTCATCCAGCTCCAACCCCCTGCTGTGTGCAGGGTCGCCAGCCAGCAGACCAGGCTGCCCAGAGCCACATCCAGCCTGGCCTTGAACGCCTCTGGGGTGGGGCATCCACAGCCTCCTTGGGCAACCTGTTCCACTGCTTCACCACCCTCTGTGTGAAAAACTTCCTCCTAATATCCAACCTAAACCTCCCTTGTCTCAGTTTAAAACCATTCCCCCTTTCTGGATTCTGGAGTACTGTACTGAAAACTTACTACGAAGTACTGTTTGATCTCATTCAGTAAGTCAGATGCACAGACTTTGTGATGTCACACAGGGTGTCTGATTTGAATTTGCTAAATTTGTATTTATTAATAGAATTCTTAAGTCACAATAAGCAGCAAAAGCTCAGCCCTGCATTTTCCATTTAAGTTTAGTATTTGTTACTTTGTCCAAGGAAAAGTCTAAAAATGCAATATAGTGTTCTCTGGGCTTATTTTAAATAAATATGAGTTGTATTATTGCTGTAATTAGAAGTGGGAAAGAGCCTAAAAACAGAAAGTGCTCTTAAACTACTAACCAAATCAATCCTTCTTTTTTTTGTTACTGGAAAGGTTCTGATGTCTCTTTTGTTGTCTAAACTAATGCTCATTCTGTAGCTCTGTCTTTTCACCTGCATATCAGCCAGTTTGTTGCTAATAGATGTTTCTGCTTTCTTATAGATGGGGCCACAGTGGCTATAAGGAGCTGTACCCTGAAGAGTTTGATACAGATAGGTAAGGCTAATGTATCCCAAATTTGTCAGGTTATGCAGGGAATTTTACAAACTGAGATTATGAATCTACTTTTAATGTCAAAGCAGCACTATTTAGTTTCAGATACCCACTGAAAAAAAATGTAATCCATTAGTGCGGTTTCCCTTCTTGCCTGAGTCTCAGGAGACGGTTGTATCTCTTAATTAGACATTTGGCTTTAACTTAAGTTACTAAAATGCTCTGAATGTTGGGGGTCTGTCTGGGCCAACAGAGAACCAGAGCAGTTGGCTAAATCCAAATCAGATGAATCAAATATCAGCTCAGGGTTCCCCTTTGCGTTATAATGTACCTGTTTTCTGATTTGCTCCTTATCTGGAGAGAATCAGCTCTCCCAGTGCCCTGGAAAGTGGAGACTTACCTCTAAAATAAGATCTTAGAACGAATCATTTCAAGGTACAACCTAGCAGTAATCAAATACAATATTTGTCAGACTTACAGATTGGAAATAACCCTTCATAAATTAGTTTTTCATCACTCGGTGGCTTTCAGTATGTGTTTTCCTTGGTTCTGGCACAAATACCTTAAATGGAGATATTAATAAGGTGTGGACTCAAGCTGTTAACAAGCATTTGAAACAAAAATAAAGCTACTAAGTCTGCTTCCCTGAACTATTCAACTGAATTGATGGGCTTGCTTGAAACAAGTCCTGGCTGCTCTCTGCCTGCCTGCTTGCTTTCTTCTTATCGTCCTTTGTTCTTCTTACAGTGACCAGCAAGAAGGAGACAAACAAAATGCTGTCAATGGAAAGAAGAAATCTCATCTGAGAAAACAAACAGCTCATGAGTTACACAAACGGAAAAAAACAAAGAAATCACACAAGAAAAAGCAAAAAAAGAGATCGCACAAAAAGAGAAAGAAAAAGGAGCAGGGAAGGTCATCATCAGATTCTTCCAGGGAGAACGAATGCTCTGAAGAAGAGACTTCAAGCACTCAGAAAGGGAAACACAGGCGCAAGAAAAAGACCAGGAAAGTGCCTGCTAGGGAACCTACCTCTTCCTCTGAGCAGGAAAGTGACTTTTCCCATGCAAGCTCAACCACCAGCAGCTCTGAGGACAGTGAATCTGAGGAGAAAAAAGAGAAACGCTTCACTAAAAAGAGAAAGAAACGTCACAACTCTGTGTCAGAGCGGCACAGTGAAGTAGCAGAGAAGAGGAGCAAGAGAAAGAACTGGAAAGTGGCCGCTGACGAGAAGTCGGAGGAGAGCTCAGAGGAGGACTGATGGGGAGATGCTGAGCTCGGGCTGCAACTGACAACGCGATAGAGGACAGAGGCAGGTATTTTTCTTTCAGCACTGTGGTTTATACATCCTGCCATCTGCAGGGGAGATGCTGAGCCCTGGCAGCCAGCTGTAGCTTCCCCCCTGCTTTTCACTGTTTTGATAGTCAGGAAAGCAGGGGAGCAATTACCTGTCTTGCACATTGGCTAGTTCTGCCAACTTCAGATTTTCTTTATATGACTGGGTTGGTTGTTGATGAACAAAAGTGTTACAGGCTGTCTGCAGGGGAATGAATACAGGCATGTTTGCACCATTTTATTTTTTTAAATTAAGTTTTAACAGTTTGGAGTTGTTGGTTTGTTGGGTTTGGTTTTTTTGTTACCCAAGTCATGACCAAATGACCAATAAGAGTGGGGAGAGACAAGAAGTCCATCAGCTGAGTTGCTAACAAAGGAAATGTCACTGGATTTAGCCCTTTGGTAGCTTTGTTTTCCCCTCTCCAGCAGAAGACCTGTATGGCATCGTGCACAGGTCAGTGGGGCGCAGAAGGGAGCGTGAGGGAATGCTCTCCTTCAGCAGAAGATGCACTGACTCCTTCCGTAGTCATGAAGAGAGGACACCAGAGTGATTGTTTCAGACTTCTCTCCAGCTCCTGGCAGCGCTGGGTTGTGCCCGGTTCTCCTGGGGGTACTGAACCTGTGCTGGCAGAGAAGCCTCGGTGGGTGTTGTGTTCTGGCTCTGGTCTGCCCGATGCATTAATGAGATTGGTACAGAATGGCTTTCCCTGCAGGTGACAGCCAAGCCTTGTTTTCACCAGATCAATAAATGAAGATGCGTTTGATGCTCCTGTCACTGTTTTGGAATTAAGCCCAGGGGCAGCTCAGGTTTGAGCCACCGGGGTGTGCAGTGCTGCTGCCGGAGCAGGGCAGGGGCTGGGGCGGGCCGAGAGGAGGCAGAAGAGGGGCGGGTGGAAGCGCAGTCGGTGCTGCTGTCGCGGCGCTGCCCCACGCGGCTCCGACTTCGGCCCGCAGCGAACGCGAACAGAAGTGCCCGGAGCCCCGCCGCAGCCCCGCTCTGTGCCCCCGTCACCTCAGTGCGGGCAGCGGGGAGCTGGCAGCTAGGGAAGGCTGCGCTCTGCCTCAGGCCGTGGCTCCATCCCCCAAGCGGAGTCACCACGAGGAAGGGACTCGGCGGGGAAGTTCCATGGCAAGCGCAGCCAGCCTTCATCGCAGCGCTTCTCTGCGACCACAACGCCCGGCAGTGCCGCTGCTTCGCGGGCAGCGCTCTGGGGAGCCGCTTCCTTACAGCCATGCACCGCTCGCCGCGCCGCGCACAGCCCTGCGTGTGGCGACCCGGAAGCGGAAGCGCGTGTGAGACAACTTCCGGTTCCGACGTGCAGTGCCCTTGGGCAGCGGGGGACGATGGCGGCGCTGGTGCTGCTGCGGGCGGGGCTGGCGCGGCCCCGCGGCGTCCCGACGGGTGAGTGCCCACCTGCGGCCCCGCGCCGTCCGCCCCACCCGGCCCTCACCCGGCCTCGTTCTCTCCGCAGCTCTGCTCCGCGGGACCCTCCTCCAACGCCCCGCCGTGCTGGCGGCCGCCGATCGCAGTGCTCCGGCCCGGCAGAGTCATGGCGGCGCCCCGCAGGGCCGCGGTACGTCTGCGGGACCCGGGCTGAGCTGTGGTTCTGCGTGTGGGCGCGGTCGGGAGCGTCCTCAGTCGGAGGGGACAAGATTGAAAGGTTTAGAAGCGTAAATAGGGCTTAATAGTTGTATGGCCCAGCAGCGGTCATAGCGAAAGCGCTGCAGGTGGGACCTGTACGGCAGCGGAGCTTCGGGTCACCAGGATCGGCCCGAGAAGGTCGGGGGTGGGCAGGGCGTGCTGCTGTGCACTGCGTGGGGACACGGCGATTGAGTTGGAGCTGTTCTGTTACTGCAAAACAGTGGGACGTTAATGCTCTGCGGCCGTGACAGTGCAACCCAGGAGCGGGAAATGCAAAGAAATGTTTGTAGAAGAAGTTGGCTTAACTGCCTCAGTGCTTCCTCTGCTGCTGGCCGTGACCGCAGGCTGTAATGGTCTGTGTTTGCTTGGAGCTCTGCTGTTGAGTTTCTACTTCTTTGTATTCAAGGAGACTTCTCTTAACAGTGGGAAAAAGAGGAATATTTAAAGCAAGCTTTCTAGGCATTGTAAAACATCTATTCTGTACCAGTGGTTCAGAAGCATTTTGGTTTTGCTCCAGTCAAAGCATAGTAGTCAGGTTGAAAAAATTGCATGGGGGGGATTGGACCAGGCTGGCTGTTTGTGCAGTTGCAGCACTTGAACAGAGCTTTGCACTGAAAAGCACTTTCCTTGCAGGCAGTTCCAAGGCTGCATCCCTGCACTGGACCAGTGAGCGTGCAGTCAGTGCCTTCCTGCTGGGCCTGCTCCCCGCTGCCTACCTGTACCCCGGGGCAGCTGTGGACTATTCCTTGGCTGCAGCACTCACTCTCCATGGCCATTGGTGAGCACAGCGGGTTCCTCAAAACAGAGCCAGGTCTGAGAGTGAGGGTGGCCCAAGTCTTATGACCAGATGTGACTCTGAGTCAGTTGGTTCTCAGACAGCATAAAGCAACTGGAAAGAGAGGCAGGCAGACACTCTAGTGACTGCCACGGCCTTTGACAAGATTGACTGTACCTTTGGCTGAAGTTAGCACAGCTGGCAGTACAAGGGTGGCTGCTTCTACTCCTGATCCTTATTCCACTGTCCGCTTACAGACAATAGCCATCATAATGGAAGAGTTAGTTGCCTTTCAGATCGCTTCCATTTTCTGCTTTTCTTCTATCTAGGGCTTCCTTGCACCCCATTTCTCACACTCTCATCATTAATGTTTCAGAATCCCATCTAAATGAAACTGACCTCAGTGTTATCTTGTGGTGGCATCCGCTGCAGGACTGGGAGTCTTGCTAGGGAAAAATCCTAGGAAGAAAATTGAATATGCTTCTGATTTTGTTTTGTTTTTTACCAAATTGTCATTGCAGAAGGTAAACAGATCTGTGATTTTGGGAAGAAAATTGCCACATGAGTTTGTGACAGTCTTCCTGTTGCTGAACCGTTTTACTTTGGAGCAGAGAGTTCACTTCAAGGCTGACAGATGTAGAAAAAGAAACAATACTAATTTCTAACTACTTTTTAAACTAAAGATACATCATGGAGTCTTGCAGCGTGACAAGAGCTGGTCCCAGAGTTCAGGCAAAAAGTGTATTTCGTTCTGTTTGCTTTAATTAGGCCTTCAGAGTCAGATTAGCTGCCCACGGGTTTGAAAAGGCACATCTCTGTTTGGGAGAGCTGTAATCAACACTTTCCACCTTGTCATTAAGAAAACTCTGAGCCAATATTTATATATTTTAATATATATTTTTAATATATATTGATTAATATGTATGGAATATTTATATATTTTTTTCTTACTTGCATCTGCTTTTTTGAGTGGGAACTAGATATCTTCTAGGTACTTCTAACGTAAGCTGGTGAAAATACTGACTTGTTTGCACCTTGATAGCAGTGCTGCTCCAGCAGGATGCTGACATAAGCTCTTTCTTGATTTCAGCTTGTTTCTCTTGCTTTTTAGGGGCCTTGGACAGGTAATAACCGACTACGTCCATGGAGATACTCCTATCAAAGTGGCCAACACAGGTCTGTATGTACTGTCAGCCGTTACCTTTGCTGGCCTCTGCTACTTCAACTATTACGACGTTGGTATCTGCAAGGCTGTGGCCATGCTGTGGAGCCTCTAAGATACAACAAGTTGCTGGCAAATGTGATTGTTCCCTGCTGCCTCTGCTTTACCATATTTTTAACAAAAAGTTTAATTCAAGAACAATGAATAACCAAGGGTCTGTAGTATGTACATATAGCAGCCAATTCGGAGCTCATCTTTCAGAAATAAATCCCCATCTTTCTTTTGATTTAATTGCTACAGCAGGAAAAGTCTTGGGAAAGAAGGAGTAGATTTAAAGTGGGTAATGTCCAGTGAGTTGATTTAAGCTGCAAATGGGAAGGGATGACATAAATAACAAAGTACAGCTGAGGGTAGTTTGTTTGTACAGGCAGCTTCCATGAGTGTTTTTCTGAAATACTGTTTTCTGTTTTGTAAGGCAAACTCAGTGATAATAGAACTATTATTTCTGACATCACAACTGAACTGTATGTAAGGCACTCCCTGTAACTCTTCGGGCCCTAAGAGTTAATGTAGAAAGGGGAATACTTTTTTCTTAATCCATACAATAAAGAATTTGCAGAAATTGCGTGTGTCATTTTGAATGATTTTTACTATTGCTGTTTTTTCTCTGCATATATTATATATTTTTCTAAAATCACTTCAAATACTCATTCAAGCTGTTATAGCTTTGCTTTATTCAGATATTATAATACAAGCAAATATCTTTATGAATATGTGTTGTCCTTAATTCCTAAAGAGTTAACATAGACTTTGTACAAGAGTGATGTTCATAATAAAAATACAGCAAGAATTGACTTAGAGAGTTCTGTCAGTTACTTTGAGAAGCTGTAAATAGCATATGGATTTCATAGTTCCCCCGGAACCTGTGTTCATCTGCAGCATTTTTTGTTTTGTAAATAACTACAGTTACAGATTTTCCTGTGTGACCAAAAAGAGAATGAACATAAACCTTTATGACATGGTTTGAGTCCAGGCTCAGTATTCTTTTCCATGTCTTTAGATTTGAAATCATTTCAGAGGGAAAAATGCAATTCCCATATTCAGCTTTCTGCTGAGACTTGCACGGTAGTGAGGAGCAGTTGTTTCCACATTCTGATGGTACTTTTATGGTACTGTTAATAGTGAGAGGAACAGACATGTTACCATCATTGATTAGGCAATAAACAGAATGAGTAAGCTGCTGAATTCTGCAGATGTCGTGATTTATATTAAAATATTTTTAAAATGATTGGGCTTTTTTTGTTTGTTTTTCTTCATTTATATAGCCATGGGAAATACTGTGCAGCTGGCCACTTCTGTTTTGCTGGACTTGCTGTCAGAATTGAGACAATGATTTTCATCTGATGTTGATGTAACATTGTCACTGTGTTGAGGAGGATGCATGTGCATGCACAGCTCAACAGCTCTGTAGAATCTGAGCAGCTATCACTGAAATTGACATTTCCTCTTCTGAGACCAAACATGGATTGTATCTGTATGTGGTATTCTTGTCTGAGAGGCGTTGTGTGAGAAGGGAGCTGTCAGAACTCTGGTAACACAGTAACCCAGACAACTGGTTTAGAGGCTAGCAGTGCTGTGACCAGCTTCCTGTGCTGCTGCAGCCAGAATGGGAAGGTAACAACCAGAACTTTCTCTGCGAGAAGCACGTCTTCCAGTTCTGCCAGTTCCATGTACTTCTCTTTTGTTCTAAATTATTCATGGCTGTAACGGTTTGATCCATTTTTCTGAATATTCATCAGGCAAATTAAAACAGGTCTGTGTATGTTAATGCATTTTTTAATTTGAGCCTCTCCAGCAAACTCTTTCTAAGCTACAGCACATTCAGTGGTGCCTGTATGTGATTCCAGAGAACTGCTTTTCTTGCCTCAGGTATTCCTGCAGCAGCTGGGTGGGGGTAGCAGCATAGTGTGAAAACTGACGGTCATCACAGCACTTCCACAGCCTCTGCTTTTTTTTTTTTAAAGCCTTTGTATTAGTATTTTTTAAAATACCAAAACAAATATTGAGATTTGTCTTCTTTCTTCTGCATATTTGAGAAATTTTTTATTTCATGACAGAAGCTTTCCTGTTTTCTCTGATTACTTCTGCCTGTATGGTATATGACAATTGTACCCTCCCTCTTCTGCCTGGCAAGGAGAGGTTCCAGGATCTGTTTCAAACCATGTCCAGGTAATCACTGCCTGCAGTTGGCTCAGGAAAGGAGGAACAATGCCTCCTTTACTCCTATACACAGAAGATGAGAGTCATACATTTTCTGGAGAGTAAATATTTGCAGTGTGTTACATGTACCTTATTTTTGCTGAATTCCAGTGTTTGTTCAGCTTCAAACGTGAAAGAGTGCACAGCTCAACCCCAACGTGTCCTATGTTGTCATACACAAAGATATCTTACTTGCCACAGCCATTTCTGTCTTTGTGATTAACAACCTGTTGCATGTACAAATGTTTGTTTCATTTTATAGTCATCTGCAGCTTACTGTCAAGTTTCAAAACCCCTTACATTTTCTTCATTTTCTCTGAAGACAAACAGCATTATTAAAATTCCAATTGCTCAGGTAAGTTACCAGTTCTCTAATAAAAGATGCTGCTAAGTTTACAGTAAGAGCTATTGTTGCTACTTCTGTTGAAGGTAACAACGCCACTGTATAACTGAAATAAGTGAAGACACAGGAAATAATGCAAAAAAGAAAAAAAAAGTAATGACGTTTATTGGTGAAATTCGTGGTCTGGTGTAGGAAAAGTGCAGTTTTCTTTTTTCAGCTGTTTTCTCTCCATTTCCACAATAGATCTTTTCCATGTATGAGACATTCAGCTCAAAACTATTTGTTCAACAAGCTCTAAAGATGTTTGAGATTAAACTATACAGGACTATGAACGCATGCATATTCTTGTTTATTCACTCCGCAATTCTCTTTGCTGTCATTTGCTAGAAAATATTCTTCTGCTGCTTTTCCCCAAGAACTTGTATTTGTTTTGCATTTGAAAATGCTCATTTTTGGAGTGTCTTACTGTAGCTGGCTATGCGCAAATATATTAAATATACAATTGTCTTCCTTTGGATTTTGAATGAATTAGACTTTCATAAAAAGCCAAATTACATTTTAAGAGTGTAGAAATACATCATAGGTTGTGCCTTTCATTACGACTTGTTAAAAACTTTGTGGTTTCATCGACTTCATCTTCTCTCGGCAGTTTCTTTAAAATTAATTTTCTTAGGGAATCTTCTTCCTCAAAGGCCAAGAACATTCCTTGTTCAAGTGAGTACTCGAACTTAAAAGCTTTGGAGCTGCAAGATGTAAATGTCTTTTTGAAAAATATGATGTTACTTTCACCAGGAATGTCTTTGGGAACTTCTCCTTCCTGTGGAAAAAAGAAAAGGACAGGTTAGTCCCAGGAGTCAAGACTTGAGCAGTTCTCTTTCAGCTCATGGTTGCATTCTCCGTTTTCCCTCCTAGTTCCATATACATGAGGTTTCAGGAGCAGATACTTACCCTAAATCGAACAACCATTTTCCCATGCTCTTTCTCACAACACATGTAGTAACTCTTATCTTCTACCTGGACACTGAATGCAACAGGCATCCCTGCTGAAGGCGCAGTGGTCTTGTAACAGTGAATGTCGAAGTACATTCCGCTGCCTAAGTATAAGTTGGTTATTATTAATAGCTTGCTCAGAAGAGAGCTGCAAGTTCTTAGCCATGCTTCTGTCTTTACTGCTGTCCTTCCATGACACTTTTTCTGACAGGAGAGCCAGGACTTTGTTAGTGGCTGCTGCTAACATATACTTGACTTTCTGCCATCATTCAATACAAGTTTGAATTTGCAAGAAAGCAATGAAATTGCCAGTTAGTATGAGTGGGATGTTCCAATCTTTTTGTATTCGTGCATAACGTGAGAAGTGGATATGTAGCCTGATTTCCAGATGTATGTGATAAGTCATTTATGTGTGTTCTATACATGATGTTCTAAATGAATAGTTGAGACACTCACAAAGCAGAAACAAAACCATAAATGCCTGGCTAAATACTGCTGTTAGAAATAGAAGCTTTTAGTGCTGAATACAGTTGGCTTAAACCTTTCTTGTTCTTAATTCTTTGTATTGCTATTTCAACTCAGTGATTACACAGAACAGAAGCACATCTAGAATAAAGAAAAGGGGCAGTGCTTATGTGTAGATATGAAAAGCAGCATACCAGATTTCACCTCCTGATCTGTTACGTCTTCAAAAGCTGCCATGTTTAAATCTGGTCGAACCACAAGCAACTGGCTATTGACATTTCGAAAGAATCGTTTGATAGTTTTTTCCTTACAAAAAGCATCACATTCCAGCTCTGCAGAAATATTAAGCAAAGGGGAACAAATAATATTTTTTTAAAAAAAAAAAGAAAAAAGAAAAACCACAATGCTTTTGATCTGCTTGGATTTTTGCAGATCACTGCAGGCTTTATTAAGATATTAAACATAGTGCAGCAGGTTGATAGAACAGCAATCATAAACAGAGCAGAAAACATCATTCTTCTTTACACCTCTGGCTTGTAGCAGCCCAGGCAAGGCAGAAGTCTCCCAGAATGCAAACAAGAGAAGCTACAGAATCTGTTAATGGTAATACAGAGGCAACAGTGCTCTCCTCTGCCAGACAATTACAGTTGCACAAAAAGCTCTTTGTATTAAGGAAGCCTATATCCCACACCTCTGTAGCAAATAAAGCAACAGCAACTTCAGAAGGAGGTGATATGTAGCTCTTTTTAGAGTAGCCATTAATCAGTTGGAAAATTTGTTTTCTAAGACACACAGAACTTTCGTGGGTTAGTACACTTAAGCAGATTAATTTAGTTAAAGTTGATAAGGAAGTAACAAATGATGAGCTTTCAGCTTACCGTCATCTTGGTCCCAAGCAAGCAATGAGGAGGAAAAAAACACATCATTAATCTCTGCCTCACAAAAAGAAACCAATTTCTAAACAGTTTTGTACTACAAGACTGGAAACCAGCCAGCCAGCCACGCACTTCCAGTATCACAAACACACCAAGCAGAGCTCTTCTCACTACAGAGCGTTTCATTTGTGAGCACAACAAGCTCGACACTGAAGCCACATCATTTGAGAACTGAAGATATTACCAAACCAAGAGGCATGCAAAATATGGTAGGGCTACTTAAGGGTGAGCAGCTCAGTTCAGCTTAGACCTGTAACCAGGTGATGAATGGCATGCAAAATTATGCTTCCATCAGCACCTTTGTTCCAAATGAGCAAATTTTGAATAATTTAAAATCGCTTCTAAAGAAGCTAGCATTTCCCAAGGAGAGATGGGAATAAATAATTCCAGATCCACCCCACAGCATTCCAACCCTTCTGAGGATTCTTTACTGGAATATTGTGCAATAATTTCACTGCTGCAAATAATTTGCCAGCAGAATTTCAAACAGAATCTTAGGGAAAAATTACGTGAAATCAGAGCAATAAAGAAATTGGGTTTCATCAGTACTGGAACAGAGGAAGTTAGTCAAAGCTTGAGGTGTTCAGCAGCAATATGGTACTGAACTGCCGCCACAGGGACAGCTGCCTCCAACTCAGATGCTTTTTGCACTGAACAGCCTGGCTGCATAATCTAATAACAGTGGTTCTATTAAGTGTGTGGGGACAGTAATTGCTCCGGTGGTGTGGGAGTTAAAGAAGGGATTCCACAAAACCGGGGATGCCTGCTTAAGGAAAGGACTGAACTGCACAGCAGCTTTTGATCTTCTACGCAGTTATCAGAAACCCTGTGTCTCTTCCAGCAGTGGGTAATAATTACCTTCAAAATAGAGGCAGAGGTTTTCTCTAAGCCGTACTGCACACACAGCGATCTCTTCACAGCTCATCTTCACACTGCCAGAAACACAGCAAGAGGATTCAGAGCTAAGAGCAATGTTTGTTACTCTGTGAGCAGAGGAAGTTCTTGGGTTTGTTCTCCCCTAGTGCACAGTACCGTGCTAGGGCCTTCATGTTTCTCTATATGTTGAAGAACTGTCTGTATGTAAAGGACAATTAGTCTCTTTCTCTGTTGCTTTTTTATCATTAGAATTATATAGAGCATCCTTCTGATTCTGTGATTTTATAACATTTTTCATTGGCTTATCTGATGACTTGAATTATTGCAGCACACCAGGGAAAAAATGACAAAATAAACCAGAAGTGACAAGGAGACATTTGTCCTGACAAGGACTTGGCTGCTGGGATGGCTGCTGTGGTAAACAATAACTCTAAGAAATAAACACCAGAATGTACTTATCAACAAAAGAAAAACAACTTGATGAGAATATCCTCTTCAAAATTAAAACAGCATTTACCACTCTGAAAGGAAAGGGAGAATAAGAATAAAGGAAGTTAGAGCACAGCAGGGGAAGACGGGCATTCTCTCTCTCTGGCAGTACAGTTTTAAAATGACCTTTTCTGTACCACTGAGCTTTGTGAGCTGCATTGCCCACTTTTCCCAGCACAGCCATGGCCACCAGGAGTCAGCATTTGTACTGAGGCTGCAGCAGAGCCACATGCATGCAGTGCAGAGAGAAGGCAGAGCATACGGACGCTGCAGACAGACAGCATTAAGCAAACAAGGGCAATAACATGACAAAATCACTTTATGGAAGTAGCACAGGGGGTGTTTCATTCAGACTGAGCAACTCCTGCCAAAACAGTTTTTTTCCCTTACACTCACTGATGTAAATAATAAATAAATGTAATAATAAATAAATAAATGTAAATAAATGTATAACCCAGCAAACAATGGAAAGAACCAGCTCTTGCACCAGCACTTCATTTTTCATTCGGTACATCTGGCTCGCTGCCAAGGCTCTTTTTCACTTAGAAAAGAACTATTAAACAAACAAAAAAGGTAACTGAGCAATGCCACCAGGTAACTAAGAACAGACATCAGCCTCAGGGATCGCTGCGGTGGAATTACAGAGATTTCCTCGCCCCTCTGGGAAAGCACTGTAAGGAGCGCACTGGATGGCAACGTTTCTCCTTCCTTCACGGTTTCGGGCCCCAGCTGCTGGTTGCGGGACAGGCGTGCGGCTCACAGCCGAGGGCTGCAAGGAAATAACCCCGAACAGCGCCCACCTCATTCGGAGCAGTCAAAGCAAGAAACCAAGGACTTTTCATTCGTTCTAAAGCAAAGGGGAAAGAACATGCCAGATTTACTGATAAAGCATTTAAGGAAAAGGCGGCCATCGCTTTAGCGGGTAAAGCCCGTAGCAAACACAACGCGACCCAGCTCTTTGCTCCGCTGCGCGGCGCGGGGCCGCTGCTCCTAACGAGCCCCTGCGGGGAGAGGAGGGCGCAGCGGGGGGCAGCGGGGGCAGCGGCCGCAGGAGGGCAGCGCGGGACGCGGGCGGCAGCGGGACGGCAGGAGAAGCGGGGAGCGGGGCTGAGCGCAGCCCGGCTGAGTGCTGCCCGGCCCGGCGCGCCCCTACCGCCAGCCCGCAGGGAGCGCCGCCGCCCACGGGGAGCGTCCCGCCCGGCTCGCCGCGCTCCCGGCCCCGTGGCGCCCACCGCGCGGCCGCCCGCTCCCCCGGACGGCTCCAGCCGAGCTCGGCTGGCGCGATCCTACCGGGCTCCTCGGCGGCTGCGGCGCGGTGTAAGCGGGCGGGAGGCGGCGCGGAGCCGGGCGGGTGCCGGGAGCGGCGCTCGGAGCCTCCGCCTGCACGGCGCGGCGCCGGGAGGAGCGGCCGCGGGAGGGGGACTTCAGGCGGGTTGCATCAGCGTCCGGGAACAGCGGCGGTGGGCAGAATGCAGGGCTCGTTCCAGCTGCTGTCTGTGTACGCCTGCATTTATTCGGTGGCACTTCCTCCTCCTCGGTGGACAAACCGAATCATGTAAATGTGAGGTTACGAAGGGAACTTTTTTGTTTTGACTCCCGTTATCTCACGCAGATGTCGTCAGCTTACATCTCGTTTTCGCGCCGACTTGTTTTCAGTCCGTTCCCTGGTGCACCCATCCCGGGGCGGCTGCTCTGCGCTACGCTCCGGCACCGGGTCGGGCGCCGCGTTTGCCGCCCTCGTTCCAAAACAACTCCGGGACACACAGCTCCGGTGTGACACCTCCACATCACCTCCCCTCCTCCGTATGAACGTCCTTCTGGGGAGCAATACGGGTTCCTGTGGAGGAAAATGAAAGCCCTAGGGGCTTGTGGCTAGCAGCTGGCACCGGATGAATGGGGGGATCGAAAGAGGGAATGGCTTTGAACTAAAAGAAGGAGATGTAAGTTAGATGCAAGGAAGATTTTGACCCAGAGGGTGGTGAGGCGCTGGCACTGCTGCCCAGAGCTGTGGGTGCCCCATCCCTGCAGGCACTCCAGGCCAGGTGGGATGGGGCCCTGGGCAGCCTGAGCTGGTGGGGGGCAGCCCTGCCCATGGCCGGGGGTGGCACTGGGTGGGCTTTGAGCTCCCCTCCAACCTGAGCCATTCTGTGATTCTATTCTATGAAATGATGGCTCCTAGCTTGTACAGCTGTATGTCATTTCCAAAGTCATTTCCAAAATTGCAAACAAATAAAGTGACAATAGCCACTGCTAACGCCCTAACTGGTACAGCCGCACTGCATGATGTTCCTCAGGAGGTGAGTGCTGAGGTGCTAAATGCAGTGACAGTCACATAACTATAGTGTAAGTGCTGTGTGCTGTTAAGACAACTCATGACAAAAAATAGGAAAATAAACTTGGGAATGGATAAGCAGCCAGTCTTCTGCAGTCTTGGAGAAACCATGGTTTGGTCCCAGGACTGTGGGAGAAAAAGAATAAGTCCTGCAACAAACTAAGACCAAACTTGAGACATTCTCCCAACTCCATGCCTGCTACTGCTCTTGGGGGTGGTGGGGAAATCCATTTGTGTCATTAGGGCTTACATCTGAAAACGAGGAATATAATTTTGAGGCCAAAGTAGCTTTTTTCAATCTCTTATCTAAAATAATAATCCTAAAACAAACAAACAGAAATGGATCACTTTACTAAAAACTGCAGACCTTGTTTGCTCCATTCATAGGGAGCAGTGTACTCCGCTATATCTGAAGATGAAAACTACAGGCATGTTAGAGAAATGTTTAACTTTTTAAAGCAAAAAAAAAAAAAAGTTGGAAGGAACTTATGACATTGATTTAGAATAACATGTAAAAAGGGGAACTTGTGTTACGGAATATTTCTCAGAAGGAAAAATTTTGCTTTGCCCAGTCACTGTAGTACACCAGCAGAGTAAAACCTCGTGTTTCAGACAGACAAGCACAGAAAAACACATTTTTGGTGACACTGCTTTCAGATAGTGAGTGTATATACCTCCATTTACACTGAGTTACGCTGACAGAATTATCAGACAGAAATATTCTATCATCCCCATCCAATTTCCTGATTTGTTACAAGGCATTTGGAGCATGTGGGGTTGTGTTTACCTTGAGTTCTACCATTCCTCCTGTTACTCTGTCTGGATGGTTGTTTCCTGCAGTGATATCTATAGATAGGTCAATAAAACATGACTGACTTCTGCCCTGCTCACTGGTTCCTCAGCATTGTCCCAATAACCATCAACTTCCTTTCAGAAGTTATAAACGACAATTGCTCTTTTCCAATGGAAACAGAAAGCTTCCGTTCTTTGTTTCTACACCTGAGAAATTTTTCTTCTCATTCAAAATAACATTGCGTTTTTTTTCCTTCACTCTCAATTATTTTTTTAGACCTGTGGAAACATTCAATGGATTATTATTATACTTGGCCCCAGAGTTTGTGCAGCCCCATCACTTCCAGCCTGCAGCGTGCGGAGGAAGCAATTGGATATTGGTTATTATTATTACTGCTTATTCGTGTCGACCTTTGAGACCATAAACATCCCACTGGGTCCCAGAGTTCTTTCCTCTCTCTTTACACACTCGTGTGTTTAAGGACCGAGGTCGGGCTGGTATCTGCTGTGATGTCAGTCCTGAGCTTCCATTTCTCCTGCTGTGACACCTCCGGCTCCAGAGGAAGCGCAGATCTCTTTCCCATCCATCAGCTCTCACGTCCAGAACGTGGTAAAAGGCACTTCATTTATTTTAATTTAGGTGCCCGCTCATGAAAACATGCGAGCACGTGTTAGTTTAACTAGCATTGAATTGGCGTATCGCTCTGATGTCTATCTGGACGTGGTTCCTCATCACCTCGCTGTGGGCAGCGCGCTGAGGCGCGCCTGGCAGCCAGCTGAGCAGCGCCCCTGCTTTGAGGAAGCGTTCAGTTCTTCTCCCAGCAGTTTCATTTCTTGCCGGAGCTCTGGCTTTCAGAGGACCTCCGGGCAGTACGTGTCTTTTTTCTCTTAAAACCAGAAGCGAAAGATGCGAAAAATTCCCCCTCCGCGCTCCGGGATTCCGGCTCTGCCCCAACGGCCGCGGTCGCCCCGAGGGCGCGCGCCCGCTGCTCGCGCGGCCGCCATTAGGGCCGCCAAGGGCGGGAAAACCGAGAGCCGCCTGAGGGAGCGGGCGGGAGCCGCCCTGCGGAGCGCCCCTCTCTGCGGCTGTTTCCTGACCGCGCCACAGCCGCGCACAGCAGCTGATGCTGTACTTTATTCCTGGCTATCTATCTGTTAATCAGGTAATAACGATGACGAGCAGCGCACAGAAACCTGATGAAAGCAGAAGTAAACGCAGGAAAGAGCTGGAGGTGAGTGGTGAGGAGGGGCCTCAGCAGCACCTAACGCTCCGTGTGGAAGCAACTCCAGGTCTTTTTGACACTCTTCAAGTAAATTCTGGTGCTGAGCTTGTTTCAAGCCATAGAACGCGTGTGCCTGTATATATATACATTATCTATACAGTTTTCATATGTTCTGTTGTCAGGCTGATGATACAGAAAGCCCTCAGCTGTCCTCTGCTGACACAGCAGACCCGGTGCTTTCGGACAGCCTGCGGTCCCTGTACAAACCTGAGCCCCTGGAACAGCTGCTAAACGGTGATGTATTCACACACCCCGAGCCACTGCTGAATGCTGCAGTTGGATGCCGAGGTGGATTTGTTCCACTGTTTAAATGAAGTCACTTTTTCTTCTAACAGAGATGAATAAAGAAATCAAGGACTTGTTGGCAAAGTATGCCCACATCTTAAGGCAAGTTATTGTGGTCTTATTTGCACAGCACTTTGTAGAGTCATAGAATCACAGAATGGCTTGAGTTGGAAGGGACTCCAAGGATCATCGGGTTCTAACCCCCTGCCACAGGCAGGGCCATTAGCCTCCAGATCTGGTACTACACCAGGCTGCCCAGGACCCCATCCAACCTGGTCCTGAACACCTTCATGGATGGAGCATCCACAACCTCTCTGGGCATCTTTTCTTGCTGTGATGGATTACTCTGGCTGCAGTTAATTTTTTACTATTATTTTTTTTCTGTTAAAAATTATAAACCGTAGATTTTGAAATAAAAACAGTGTTCTTTGTTACAATAGAGTAACAACAGCATTTGGTCAAAAACTGAGTATTGATAGACTCCATTTTAAAGCAAAATATAAGAGCAGGTCTAAGTAGTGATGAAATTGTTGTCCTTAGTATTGAATTTTACTTTCACTGATGTTTTTTCTTTTTTCCTTCCCAATTAAGTGAGAGAGCAATAATGGATGCTTCTTACGTCCAAGAGCTTGATGGAATCTTGAAGGAAGCGAGAACAATAGAAAACCACTTAAAGCAGAAAAAGGAGAGTCTGAAGCAGAGATTTGCTATGATTGCAAATACTCTGCAAAGCTAAACAAAGTTTGTTACATTGTAGAAATGCTCATTGTTGTAATAAACTTTGATACATAAAATTCATAAACAATGCTGGATGTGATGAATGCTTCATATGTATTTCTGTAAATATTTCTAGCAGTTCAGGAAACATTTGTCAACTTTAGCATCTTATTTTTTTAAATAAGTATATGCACTATAAAGAGTAGTGGTAGTACAAAAGATGCAAAATATTTATTTTGAATCCCACAATGACTTCAAGGGATTCTACAGATTAGAAAAGCATTTCTTATTTGCTGATCCATTGTTTAGACTGTCCGTATGCTTCCATCCCAAGAAAATTAACTTTTGGTACCCAAGTCATAGTAGAATGTATCTTGAATTTTAATTTTGTTGTTGTCTCTGAACATAATTGAATGTGACTGAAAAGAGAAGCTTAGAAATAGGAGAGTTCTATTAAGAGTTATACTTTGGAAATGTATAACAAGAGGTTAAGTCTTAATTTAAATATGTATTTTGATATATCTTCAGCCTTTCATATGAAATAAAGAGTATTTTCATATAAAAGTGCACTGTCAAAACTTTTCTGGTAGTATCAATAAATAAAAGATGATGTTATTACTATCTAGAAGTCCTGTGATTTTTAATTTTTTTTTTTTAATATGTACATAAATCTAGTTTATTTAAGGGTGATTATGGAGTTTTTTCAACAATTTTTCTTTCTTGCCATTTGACTGTTGAAGAAAAATATGAAACATAAAATATACAAAATATTATTTGTACTATGTGTGCAGGCGATTTAGTAAAGAAAAAATTGCGAGCTAGTCCTGCTGTTATAACATAATATACCTAACCCTTCCTTCCCCAGTACTGTGCACTTGAAATATTTTCAGACTTAATCCTCCTTTCACCCTTTTACCTATTAAAGGCCACAACTGACTGTGCTACCTATCACACTGTTACTCTGAAACTTGACATCTGTGAAGAGATTTCCCAAGGCACCCAAAGATACAGTTGCGTACTCAGTAGGATTTTCAAAGTGCCTACGCATGTAAGCGCCTTAGATGCTTAGGAATTTTTGAAGATCCCATAAGATGCCTATCTGCATCTTTAGTGTCTAAAGACTTTAAAAAAATCTCACCACAAGTATATATAATCTTTTACCAACCTCTGGTAATTTTTTAACCAATCATTTTGGTAATTCTATTCAAATGGAAGAATGTAGAAGAAAGGGGAGAAGGTTTTGGAAGCTAAATTTTCTAGAATATTGCACTGGGCGTGTATAGGATCATTTAAGAAGTCGAATAAAAGCAGAATTTAAAACTGGCATCTAGGGAGTGTGTGAAAATCTTCCTGCAGTTACTTGCATAAGGACCAAAGTAAAAATATGACTTTAATTACTGCTCAGTTTCAATCTATTTTATCAAAGTCAAAAGAGAAGTTCTGCATAACACACCCTGTTTAGCTCAGTTGGATTCAGATCATCGTTGGTTTGCATGGCTCATAAACACAAGTTGCAAAGCTCTTGCTCTCCTCTCAAGTTTCAATATGATGTGGAAAAGTTGCAATGGATTGCAAAGTGTAAGTTCCTTACCTTAGAGGACACAGATTCGTAGTGATACTGTTGCAGTAGGCTGCTCCATTTAAAAACTTAAAATCCAATAAGAAATGGTAGAACTGTTCTCTTAGAAGGATGAAGCTGCAGATGAAGTCATACTGGCACCCATCCCATCACTATCCGCTTTCCAGTTTTACTGAAGGAGGTTGAACTGAAAATTAATTGGCTTTAAAGCTGCCAAATCTGATCAGCAAAGCTCAGCTGGTAACTACATTTTCTTTAAGCTTCTCCCCATGTTGTTTAAGCTGCATTGCCTTAGCAAATTAGCAAGAAGGTCTAAGATGACAGATCAGTAACAGAATATAAATGGATTTTTCTAGAAATCGAGGAAGCATCTGAGACAAAGTTCTGGCCCTCCTGAAGCTGCAGGGATTTTTGTCTGTGACTCCTGCATTTCTGAGATTGCTGTGGGTGCCTTCAGAATCCAGAGATTGTAAGTGACAAAAAAACTAATATTAAGCTGTTCTCACTGCTCTGCTCTTATCTAACAGCTGAAAATGGAGAATAGCAAATAATGCAGAGATAGCTGAGGTGTTCAGGGAAGAAGTGTCTTCACCCAGAAAGGTTACTCATGGCTTTTCTCTTTAAATGAAATTGCTGCTGTGCATAGATGTAGGAATATGGATAAAAACAGGAGAAATGAGGTGGTGTGGGTCATAGCTGTATTTGAGGCTCATGAAATTCAGGCTAGAGCATGTCAAAATTCACCTTTGATAATCTTAGAACCTCTAGGATTTTCTTTGATTAATCTTTGAAAACTTGGTAATCAAGGCAGCACCTACAAACAAGGATAAAGAATCATGGGTTGATCAGTCTATGATCATCCTGTGGTGATTCTCAACTAAAATTCCTAACAACCACTTCAAAAGCATCTGGGAAACAAAGCATTGGCAAAAAAAAAAAAAAAAAAAAAAAAAAAAAAATTTAGTCAGCGTTGCTAACTTAATATGTATGTGAAAACAGGGATGGAAGGGTTGTTATAGCTTGGTGTAAGGTAACCACCACTTGTGCATTGTATTACGTATAAATAGGAGCCATCAGGAAATAGGGGCTACAGGGGAGATTAGAAGTTAATCAGAGGAATCATTCTCGTATTTCCTGAAAGGTCAGTTTGGGTGGCATTCTTTAGGGATCTGCTTCAAGCCTGGTTTGTTCTGTATTATCCTGAATGATTTAGGGAGCCTACAAACTGGAGGGGAATCAACTCTTTGAAAGGGTAGATAACAGCAGAACGAGGGGAAATGATTTTAAGTTGAGGGAGGGAAGATTTAGGTTGGATGTCAGGGGGAAGTTCTTTACAGAGAGAGCGGTGAGGTGCTGGAACAGCTGCCCAGGGAGGTTGTGGATGCCCTGTCCATCCCTGGAGGTGTTCAAGGCCAGGTTGGATGGGGCCCTGGGCAGCCTGGTCTAGCATTAAATGAGGAGGTTGGTGGCCCTGCATGTGGCAGGGGGGTTGGAGATTCATGATCCTTGAGGTCCCTTCCAACCCTGGCCATTCTGTGATTCTGTGATTTAGGAGAATGACACTGGAGAATACAGTTAGGTTTGTTTGTCTGTTTGTTTTTGGTTTTTTTTGGTTTTTTTTTTTTTTGTTTGTTTTTGTTTTTGTTTTTTTTTCAAGCAAGCTACACAGGGTCACAATTCCTATCAGTAATGTATGTTGAAAATTCACCGTAATCTCACTAAGATAAAGAACTGACCTAAAATAGAGATAAAATTCATAACAGATTTTAGAAGCATTACACTTATCTAGGGGAATCAAGTGTTCCTTACAAACCAGAAGAATGGCTGGAGCTGTTACGATGGCATTGGGTAAGGGAGAAAAAGAGGAGATGCTGTAACTAAAGGATAGTGAGTAAGGCATTGCTGCTGTGCTTTGCTCTATAGTAGCCACATCTTAGCTGGGGAATTGAAAGCAGGCTAGGCAGAGTCTGGAGTGGGAAAAGGAAATAATAATGGACCAAAAAACCATGATCTGTTGGGTTGAAGTTCAACTTAGAAAAAGCAGAAAACAAGGGATGGTGTAATCACTGATCACACTGATCAGCATCAGTGATAAAAAGGACAGTAATCAGTGATAAAAAGGACTTGATTAGTATTCACTGTGTCTCACAGAAAAGGTGAGAAGAAATCAGGTTATTTTGCAACGGAAGATTTAGGATGAGTTATAATCTGCCCCATCTTAAAGGCACAGTGGGATGGGTTATGCTGAGTGCTGTACGTGCTGCCCTGCCAGTCATCGAGGGCTGGGGCGGCTCCTGAGAGCTTTGGGAAAAAAACGAAGCTAACAAGGCCACAGCAGTGCGTTCACACAGCCGCAGCACTCTTCTCTTTCCTGAGGGAAAGGGATGGGCTCACCTTAACACGAAGCAGCAGAACGCAGCACAACTCTGGTCCGGCCCTGCCTGTTTTGGTGTTCTTTCGTGGCAAACAATGTTCCTCAAGTCCTGAGACCTATGAGGTGCAAAATTGCTATTTTTGAAACAAAACAAAATACTTTGTGTCAAGTGGAAAAGGCCAAGGAAAACTGACAAAAGCTTTTATCTGACTACTTGCACACGGATGCACAGCCTTTCCTCCCCGGCTCCAGCACGTTTCCACGCGGGGATGGATGCTCTCAGTGCTCGGTACCTGCGGGATGCGGCCCGGCCGTGTGCGGCACAGCGGAGCTGCAGCGCATCCTCAAGCCCTGCCTGGCGTCCTGCCACGGCTTTTATTCTGAAGCGATGATGTCAGGCAGCTCGGTGCAACCCTCTGCGCCCCGCTGCGCGCTGCCGCCCCGGCCCCGCTCTCCTCCCGCACCACCTCCGATCCGATGCCTTCTTCCGAGCAGAGTATGTTTTCCAAAATCGCTTTGTCAGCCGTCAGCATCCTGAGTTCAAATTTGCGGCATTTGCTCTCCTTTTTGATGCAATTCGTTCCAGGTAAAACGCATAAACAAACAAATCCTTCCATCATCCTGGAAAGAGGTTTTCTCCGAGCTGCTGCCGGCAGCCGCTGCTGGCACAAGGCGGCGGAGCGGTTCTGTTTGTAGCGATCAGAAAGGAGGAACGAAGCAGTTCGAAATGTTTGCTGGAAGCCAGAGGTTATCTGTTATTTACTGAAAAGATGAGTGTGAGAGGCAAGCACATTGCACAGCCTCTCTCGGATTATGGGCATATGCCGAAGGTTTAGCGTTGGGAGGCTGCTGCGAGGTGTGTGCGCGGCTCGGGAGAGCGTTTTTTCGGGCATTTTTACGGAGGCTTTGGTGTGAATTCAGCAAGTGGGAGAAAATGGTGCCGTGGGATTTGGTATCACCACGGGACTCTGCAGTCTGTGCTGTCACTGCACAGTTTGAGCTGTCATTTTTTTGTCTAAGAGTGAAACCTGTTACCACAAAGTAGGAAAACAAGGAAGATCATGATTTAGTTTACCAGAAGCCCTGTTTTTTCTTTTTCTTTTTCTTTTTCTTTTTCTTTTTCTTTTTCTTTTTCTTTTTCTTTCTTTTTCTTTTTCTTTTTCTTTTTCTTTTTCTTTTTCTTTTTCTTTTTCTTTTTCCTTTTCTTTTTTCTTTTTCTGTTGTTGATGGTCGTTTCCCCTTAGAATTAAGAATTGCTTTTGGGGGATATAAAGTTCTGAAAGGCCCTTGGACCTGCCTGAAACCTGTCGCACATGAAAGAACAGTCAGGGACAGAGTAATTGGTGCAAAACAAATGTCTAAGTACGGATCCTAGCTTTGGGACTGTTATATAAAACAACCTATGATATCATTTCAAGGTTTGATAATGTACATCCCAGATGGAAATAAAGCCCTTATGATGTTATTTTGCTCGTTAACAGATTGCAACAGCTATATCATTCAGTTAAAACTGCTGTTCTCTGCTAAATTTTCCTGCAGATTCCTTTGTTATTCTTTGGAGCAGAACTGTGTAGGCATGTAAAGATTTGTGTTTGTTGTTTTGATGATCTAATTAAAACGAGAGGCTGGAAAATTTCTATACTTCATTGTTTGCATCCTTCTGAAAATTTTGAATTTCCCTGACTTTTACTGAAGTTTTGTTAGTGAAGCTTGATGATGATACAGTATTGCCTCAACTTAGCTAAAAAGTGAGAATGTTAAATTGTGAGAAAGAATGCTTTCCATTATTTTGTTCAAGCATTTGAGTGAAACAGTGAGAAAAATAAAGAAAAAAGTGAGAGTTAAATCTGTTCTTTCTGATACATGTTCCTAGCCCACACCTTATTCATGGCGTCTTTCATGGCGTAGGTGCTCTCTAAGGATTGCATTATGTAGATCAGTACTTAAGAAAGAAGTTGTACTTCCTTCATGTCATAAAAACAAAAACAAAAACAAAAACAAAAACAAAAAAACCACCAAAGTTTAGGATTTATTTATCCTTTGTCATGTCTTTATCCTCTTATTTTCTCCATTACTTTCATTACTTTTCCCCAGTGTTTTCTGTCACTTTTTGTTTGTTTGTTTGTTTGTTTTTTATGTTCTTCTTGTCTTCACTGTGTGTTAGCAAGGAAGTGGGTGGCTGACTCCCTGGCAATGGGGAATCTCCTGGCTAGATGGAACGAGGAGCCAAGTGTGGGGACCTCCCAGCAGACACAAGGCAAGTGCAACAGCCTTAGTTCAGCAATCAGTGTGGGACAGAAGTTAACTGCCAGCCCTGGTGATCTGGGTTGCCTGGTGAAGATGGGGGCAAAAGCTAGAGACTGGATGAGGGAAATCATAGCCACAGCTGCTTTGGCTCAGTTTGGCATGGGAAGGAAGAAGTTTTGGAGAAATCTATTTGGTATGTCTTCTAATTCCAATTCACAGTTTATAGGGAAGATAATATAGGCATTGTTTTGTGTCAGATTCAGGCTGTCCTGCCCAAAGCACACAGATTAGCTTCTCTGCATATAAACAACCCATGACAAGATTGGTGAAACAGTAACAAGTTTTGGTGCTTATGTAGAAATAGTTTTGCAGTTTTTTTCTCTATGAGAAAGTACATACTGTACTTGGCTTTGCCTCTGTCCTGGTATGCCAAAGTGTACTTGGGTCTTAAGCTTGTTTTTAGAGGTTGGCAGCAACATGGAAATTAGATGCCGGAAACACTGTCTTTGAGTTGCCAGATTAAAATCTTGTTTAGATTTTCAGGTATTATGCTCAAGCAAGCCTTTGACTTGTTGCTTATTCAAGTTCTTCCATCTTGATCTGTGTTTCAAACAACTATATGTTTATCTTCTAGATATCACAGAAAAAAACTGCTTCCCATTGCTAGCAGAGTCAGCATTTATTTTACATACCTATTGCTCAACATGAAAAGCCAGTCTGTCTTTCGTCTTTTGCAGAGATTTATGTCTTGAGTGGCTAAATGTCAAATGTGAAGAACATTTAATTTCCACATTTAGGTGTGAGCTCCGGTCCAATGATGAAATGCTTTCATTGTAATAGATCTTGAGCAGTGCCTTCGGTTGTGAAGTGTTTCTATTTCATCTGCTTCATGCATTTCAGAGTAGGTGCAGATAAATGTAACAGGTTTTAGTGCTTTTTATTAAATCTGGGGGGCGGACTTAAGATTTCCTTGTAACAGGAAGGAAGTGCATGTTGGGCAGGTGTGGTTTTGTTTATCTGTGTTGTTTTTTCATTTTTTTCCCCCCTAAATACAGCTATGGTGGCTTGGAGTAGCAACAAAACGATTTCCTTTGGACTCTTTGGTTTGTGTTGTACTATCCTGCCATAGCTATTACAGTGGCTTGATTTCTTTTTTTGAGTGAGTCTTTCCTGTGTCAGCAGGGAGAAATGTGTTGTACTGGATCATTCTGGTCTTACTTCCACGTTCTAATTATCCTATGGTGTTTTCTGCTACTGACTGTGTCTTGGTGCGTTGCAAAATGTTAATTCATCACCCATGCACAAAAACACAAGGTGCATTCAGCCTCTGCAAGCACCTGCCTGATCACATCCATCCACCCACCCGCCTATTCCGTATATAAGCATTGCTTTGTAGGTGAGGGACACCAGTGCCATTTCCCAGCCATGTTATCCCCAGTGGGCAGCAATAATGAGGTGGCTTACATAATGTGATTTCAAGATACTTTTTGTGCTGTGCTGAATATGAGGGAGGTCATTGCTTATTTCTGTTGTTTGTTTCTTGTCGTGAGTCTTTTCATAGGCAACTCATCAGAGCAAACCTTTTTTTTTTTTTTCAAAACTGTCCTAGAAAATGTCTGTTGTGACTCATCTGGGCATCATGATTCGATTACTCTTAGTACATTTTACTGTCAGGATCTTCATCTAACTTGAATAGTACCCAGAAGGAAAGATGCTCCCTTGTCTTGGTATGCTTCTTGCTCTCTCTGTGGTCTGACAGTGCAAGGCATTATCTGATGTGCTTTTTGTTGTGTGTAGCCTGATCTCAGATGATTTCTGCACTACATCTTGAAATCTTTCAGTAGTGGCTAGGTTCAAGAAAGATGAATTCACAGAATCACAGAATCACAGAATTGTAGGGCTGGAAGGGACCTCTAGAGATCATCCATTCCAACTCCCCTGCCAAAGCAGGCTCCATAGACCAGGTTCCACAGGTACGTGTCCAGGCTGGTCTTGAACTTCTCCAGAGAAGGAGACTCCATAACCTCTCTGGGTAGCCTGTTCCAGTGCTCCATCACCCTTATTGTGAAGAAGTTCTTGCACACAGCAAGACTAATAAGGCTGTACTTCTAGAAGGACTACTAAGATGATTATGTGAATAGCAAGGTTATCATAGGAGGAGGAAAACTTGGTTTGTTTATCTTAGTAAGTGATATGATTGCTCACTCTAAATACAACATCTGTCAACAAGAAGGAGAACACAACAGAAGAGGGAGGAATGCTGATGTCACACAACAGTACTAACAGAAGAAAAAGGAGGATAAACTGTCCCACTAATATAACTTCTCTCTGTGAATTCATAGCATTTTTCTTATCATCTGGGCAATTGTCCCAAAAGCAACCTTCCAAGTAAGGCATAAGAGCCATGAAAGAGTAATTTTTAAGATAGAGTTCAAATATATCTTTCTGGGGCAGGAGATGGGAGGAGATGATGCAGGAGATCTCTTTTGGTCCCGTTCAAACTCTCTTGTGAAGTATAACTTCCTAAATTCCTATACGTAATTCTGCAGCCCTCCAGGAAGTTTTTTTCAGTAGTTCCATCCTTGGTTATGCCATCTTTGTTTTTGCACGGCCGTAAAAATATCTCCTTATGGACATTGCTCTTGTGCATTGTTTTTTTTTTGTTGTTGTTTTTTTGTTTTGTTTTTTTTTTTTTTTTTTTACAATTTTACATCTTTACAAAGTTCTTCTCAGCCTACTAAAGGTTTATTTCTGCAAATACTGGTGATGGTCATTAGACCTGTCAGATATTGGTTGATACGGAAAGCTTCTTCTTCCTTGTGTCTAAGGAAATACTGAGGGCACTAATGTTGGGATCAGATTGAGTGCTTCATATAGGATTTAATCAGAACTTAATTGAATTTTAAGAGGAAGAGGATGTTGGTGGTTTGAGGTTAATTGCTTTAGCCCGGCAGCCTGAATTCTTTGTCTAGCTGACTTACCATATTAGAGATCTCAAGGAGGATTTTGAGGATTGGCAGGCTGGAGAAGTACACGGAAGGGAGCTTGCAATTCAATTTCCTGCATGCCTAACAGTCATTCAGCCTCAGGATGTTTTAAAGAAGTGAGCTCAGGGAAATGCTGTGTGCCAGCACAGGTCTTCTGCAGATATTCTCCTGCTCTAAAATATCACTTGTCCTCTGTAGACATGAATATGTGGTTTCAGAGGCTCACAGGTAAATTGTGCAGAAGCTTCACTTAATCACTTGGATTAAAGAAGGTAGGTTAGAAGAAGCATCCGCAGTGGTGAAAGTGACTGCCATCGCTAGAATAAACTACAACAACAAAATGTCACTACCAGACTACAGTCTGCTCAGCCTGAGGCCTTTTCTGTCCTGGAACGAGTTCAGGAATGGATTTCTGTATGCCAAGCAATCCTTTATATCACATTTCTCTTGCATCTAAATCTTCATCTGTTCTTGCTTAGTTCAGGACTAAATAGCCTTATGGAGAGGATAGAGCAGTGCAGCAGAGCAGCTCCTCTGACCTGTGGAAATGGAGCCCAGCGCAGGTGAGGAGGTGGAAGCACTGGGAGGGAAAGCAACCACAGTACACTTTCTAGGTAAATCCCCCTTTGTAGCTAAATGGATTGCTATAACAATCCTTGTGTTGATGAGGCTTTGCAAACCAGGCTACTGGAGCTAATAGCTAACAGTGTGCCCTTGCACACAGCATTCCCTGCTCTTCATGCTTCACCAATGCTTTTGTCCTATTGCTCTGCCTAACAATATGCAAACAGGAGGCTACATCAGAAAGGACCCTCTTTTGCCGTTGCTTATTTCTTTATCAGGTAAATCTGCTTAGTCTACTTCTCATGACAGCGTACTTCAGCTCAGTTTCATGCATGTGTGTTCTTCATCACTTCCATTTCTTTTTTTTTTTTCTTTTTTTCTTTTTTTCTTTTTTTTCTTTTTTTGTCAGGGAGGGGGAGGTCTGCAAGGGCAAAAGCCAGTGATTACCTTCTGAGCTCCTGCAATCGGATTGTCCCGGTGAGTTTGAGAACTGACCTGTGCACCTTTCAGCAGTCTGAGCTTCTGGTTTACCGCATTACAGGTGCTGCCAACTTGGTGGAGTCCTTCATGTGCAGTGTAGAGAGGAAACATGACAAGCTATATTTGACAGCCTGTGTTCTTCCAGGGTTTTGAAATCTCTGACATCAATGCTTGTAAAATCTTCTTGTCTAACAAACTATAGCTTGCCTGGATTTACTGTACTGCACTGGGAGTCCTGGAAGTTGTTCTTTGTTCTCTGGGATGTTCCTTCTAGTGAGCTAGAGTGTTGTTGGTTTGTTTCTTACAGTTGCGGTGTTGTGTGTGCATATAAATATATATATCTTTTCCTTTGACTTTGGAAGACCTTTTGTACCATGGGCAGAAAAGAATGATTTGTTATTATAGTAATAATTATAATAATTATAATAATAATTATTATTTTAAAGTCAGTGGAAAATGTACATTTTGTTAAAAACAGGTCATTGATTTGGAGGAACTTAATGCCACGATACATCCCCTCCCCATAATTCCAGCATTGAGATTAAGGGGAATACTAACCATAGTATAACATTTCTTCACTGTGAAATTTTCAGCATTAGGAAAATCATGCATTAGGTTTAGCTTCAAGGTATACTGCTTCTTACTATGAGCAGCCTTGTAGCACAAATTTTCAATGCTGTTTCAGAAGTCCTTGGTTAAAACTAGCTCAGACTAATTCCTATCCAGAAGCATCTGTAACAGCATCGAATATGATTGGATCTGAATAAGTCTTCTACTTCAGTTGCATGTCACTGCATTGGTGACTTCATCCATAAGCAACAGTTAGCAATTCAAATACAAAATTAGTTCACAGCTGTTAATGTCAGAGAGCAAAATCTCTTGCATTTAGATACTTTCAAAACACTTCCCAAAACAAAAAGGGAGAACATTTGTCTCCACATTTGAACCAGTAATGAGAATAAGTTATAAAGATGGAAGGCCAACCACTAGTCGCTGGACAGGAAAAAGACCTTAAGAGAATTTTAAGTGTAGCAAAATTAAGGAAGTGGACAGCATATCTGCACAAGAATAATCATCTCTGATGTGTTCTTGTTTTTCTGCACTCTGCTTTAATTCTGGAAACTCCTTGGGTGATGTCTGATTAGATTACGTGTTCTGGGAAAGTATTCCAGTACGTACACTTCTCTGTCTTTTTAACATACCATGACTGTGATACCAGGGTGGAGTTAGTGTTAGAATGTGGTTTTTCTGTCTGAGGGCTGCCCAGCTCTGCCTTGCTTTTTGCAACATTGTGGTATAAATGCTGCACGCACTGCTTCGTAGTGCATCTTTCTGATCACAGCTTTGGCCTGAGGGACAAGCTTTTTCCTGTTGCTTTCCTCACTAGGCTACCATCAGAAAGCACAGGGAGATTACTTGTAGGGCTCCTCTTTTGTGTTACTCTATGCATCAATTTGGAACAGTTTTTGTTTGTTTGTTTGTTTTTGTTTTGTATGTTTTTATTTTTAAATGTAACTTAATAGATTATCTTGACAAATAGCCACATGTCTTGCTGTCACTTACTTACTGAAATAACTTTCAATTGTGAGCCCCCTTAATTAAATAACTCTTTTTTCCTATCATGAAATATTTAATTGTCTCCTTTGGACTGCGGAACAGGTGTCACTAATAGACTGAGTATAGTTAAGAGTAGTCTAGGTCTGCTAGACTTTCAGCTCCCTGTGGATGTGTGAGATGATATGGAACAAAACTTCTGTCTGAATATCCTGTACAGTTTGGTTGCTTGGGGGATTCTGAGTAGCATTCTTCTAGATATGTAAACTCAAGCTCTAGAAATTGTCTGTTCATTCAAGTGTAAATCTTAGTTACTTGGTTTTGTTCTCATTGCTTTCTTTGCAGGTCTAAAGAATTCACTGCCCAGTCCATCAAAAGAGCAATTCACCTTGCCCACTTTGCAGTGCATCTCTCCCTTACTACAGACAGTGGAGGAGACCCCAGAGCCCATCCCAGCCAAGATCAAAGGACATATTCCTAAATGGATTAATGGCAATCTTCTGAGGAATGGCCCTGGGAAATTTGAGTTTGGTGAGGAGAAGTAAGTCTGGGTTTGGTGAGACTCTGGCCTGAGCACTAGCTAAACCCAAATGGGAAGCCCCTAAATGGCTCACTACTGTTTGGAGCACCTTGTAGTTTCTTAAATTAGGCAAGGAGGAAAGGCTTGCGTCATCTTTCTTTTCAGAACATCTGCTCCCTCACCAGAGCTCAGTGAGCTCTGAAAATAGGAAGCATGGTTAACTTATTCAGGCTGGAGAAGCTGAGTCACAGAAAGGCTGTGACCTACTCAGAATGGTGTAATGAGGGACCAGAGATGGGGATTAAAACATGCCTCCAATCCTTTGTCACTAACAAAAGTCCATCCTATGAGCACTCTGAAATCCAAGAAACAGTTTTCAAAGATGAGTGCACTAAATTGAGTAAGTTGCTTTTGAACCAAATCCAGCTCATTTTTCAAATAACATATCAAAACATTTTAAATAGGCAACCTTGCCTTTGGCTTGGAATCTGCCATTTTAGCAAACTGACAAACCCAGCTCTTTCTGCAGATTTGACGACAGCAACTGGCCAAAGATAATCATTACATTTTTTAAGACAGAGGTGTCTTAAAAACACCCAGACTTCCCTTTAAGTCTCAGATTTCTCCTTTTGGAGAGAATGGCACCCTGCAAATAGATGAGAGATAAGGGCTCCTTGTGTGGTTATGCTTTCAGCAATACTTTATATTCCCTCAGTGCACAATGTCTTCTTCTTATGCAGAAATCTGCAGTATGGTTGGTTTACCAGCCCAATTTATTTCTCCAATACACAGCATTTTCAGAAATCCCTATTATTTTCAGAAGTGATACATGGAGCCCAAATCTCATCAGTGGTGAGTACCTAACTTCAGGCTGCATGCCTGCAAATGCATTTGATTAATTTCACTCACTTGAGACTCGTCACAAGGTTGTGTTTGTTTCTGTGATCATGGGATGTTGGCATTAGCTAGTCATGGACAATAACAAACATAAAGGCAATCTTGTTCTCCTATTTGTTAATGCTTGTAGATACAACCACTGGTTTGATGGCATGGCCTTGCTGCATCAGTTTCAGCTGAGGAATGGCACGGTGACATACCAGAGCAAGTTTCTGCAGAGCAACTCCTACCTGATGAACAATCAGCACAACCGCATTGTGGTCTCAGAATTTGGGACGCTGGCAATGCCAGATCCATGCAAGAGTGTCTTTGCACGCTTCATGTCACGCTTTGATCCACCAAGTAAGAGGGTCTCTAAAAAATACAAAATGTTCTGAGGTTTTCTGGGGGAACTGATGGTTAGCTTTGATGGGAGCTGTGAAGAAGTCTGGTGCAGGCCTATTCTGGGTCCATCTTAGAAGATGGTCCCTTGGAACAACAACTATTTGATATCAGATGTAGCTGGAAGAGGCACATTCACTTTAGTGTTTTAGTGCTACTTTGGCTCACTTGGTCCCAGTTTGTTGCAAATAGCCAACAGAAGTCTCCCCAAAGAACACCCTGTACAGACCTGATAATGGGCATTACAGTCTGTTATTCTCCCTGAGACACTTTGCCCTCAAAACACCTTACCTTGCTAAGCTTATAGGGTAAGTGGGCTAATCCTTCCCTTCCTGTACTAAGGTGCAGGGGATGATATAAGTAGGGTGACAGAGGGTATTGCACAGGAATGGAAGTATCGCTACCTATAGGGTACTGTGTAAGGCAGGAAAGAAATAGGCTTAATTTTAAGCCAAGTGTCTGTCACTAAAACCAGAACAGACCTAAAGTCTGCAACTTGCTGCTGCTTAAGTTCCTGAGGTGATGGATCTTGTCCTGCCTGTCATCTATTGTCTTTGAAGGTGCTTATAGCTTCACTCACTTGTCTGCCGTGTTCCTCAGCTTCCCACTTCTTATCCCAAGTTGTAGCCTTAAGTATTACCTCCCATTTCCAATGGTGTGAATTGAACATGGAACTCATCATATGGCTGTCAGAGGAGATAATCTTGGCTGGGGAGGAAAGGGAGAGAAATATGAAGAAATAAGAGGTCACACACAAAGGGCATATGGGAGTAACTAGGTTATCTTGGTTTCACTAGAGTCATTTCCACACCTCCTTACTAGAACCATAACTTCTCTTTGTTTTTGAAGATGACAAGTTCAAACTCAGTAACCAAGCCTCTTACCTGATGGTAACACAGTTTTGCAGTTTTGTTTGCATTCCTGCTAGACAACCTCTAGACAATGCCTTTGTTGCAGACATGAGAAACTGAACCTGTTTAAGCTTCTAGGAATTAGTGACATTATATATATATTTCCAGAACTTATAAAATGAATAAATCAGTTTCTTTGGTTTCAAATCAAGATATGTTGTAGAAGTTTTTCAAATCCAGTAGAAAGCAATACCAGAACCTCACTCTGCAGTGTGACTACTGGGTTGAGGGTGGGCTCTGGGCCAACTGACAATGTTGACAAGGCCCGAGTGACCAAATTTAATAGCTGTTGAGCTACGTAAAACTCTCTCTTGGATAGAGAAGTCTTCTTAGTACCAAGAAGTTACAGAGCACAAATAGGTGGTTGGGATCTAGCAGTGAACTGATAAAATGCAGCAGGTTCTTGTCCTTTTGTCCTGATTTCACTTGTCCAGACATTTTCCTGGGGTGCCTTTGTAGATTAGTGAGATACTTCTAATCAAGGGGGATTAACGTCACAGCAAATGGGTTTATTTGTTTAAACATGTCTCGCTTGATATGATGTCATGCAAGCTTAACCAGAGCTTGAGTTTTGTTTCAGAGCCAAGTGACAATGCCAATGTGAGCTGCGTTGTGTATAAAGGAGACTACTATGTCACTGGTGAGAACAATTGCATGTACAAAGTGGACCCAGAAACACTTGAAATGAAGGAAAAGGTATGGGCTGTTGGGGCAAGGGGGCTGACTTGTGGCACAAGAGGATCTCTCTTCTTTGTTCCTAAAGGCCGTCAGTAACTTGTGAGAAGCAGAGGGGAAATCAGATTCCAAAACAAAGATCAATACAGCTCTAAACCATAGCTGTAAGCATTCTCCTTGTATACCTGAGTTCCTTGAAGAATCTGTTGAGAAGTAAGGCAGCTCTCCTCCAGATGCTTCCCACTGTAGCAGGCAAAGACAAAGAGGCTTGCAGGGCTGTTTCCGTTAGTTATTTTTCCAGCACGCTCACTACTTGTCCGTACTTGTCTGTGTTTGAAGAATAACGTGCATACAGGAAGAAGTAAGCATCACTGCTCTCAGATCTGCATTCTTGCAGTCTCTTCAGTCTTCCCATCTGTTCTCTTAATGTCTTCATGCACACACATGCACAAGCTCCAAATACTGCAAACTAGTCCTGCATGGTCTTGACTGAAATCTCTTTGTAGCCACTGGGAGGTGAAACCAATGTAAAACTAAATCAAAGTTCAGCTGCCACTACTCTTCCCCATACGAGCCAACAAACCACAAGCTGAGCGCATGTTCTATGCACTGCCTCACAGGAGCATGGCTGTATCTGGGACAGAGCACGACTTACAGAATGGCAAAGTAAATTATGTGTTCCCCTGCTAGCACTGTTAGAGAGGTTTTGGATATTTGCTGAGCTGAACCATGGTGAGAAGAACTGAAGAAGGATTCTGCTGCTCCTGAATACTTATACTGTCATCCTTGTATGTTACTACAGATTGTTTAATACTGAAAAATAGCATCTCAGCTCACTGCCTTGAGAGAGGCATTGCAGCAGTCCCTTCCTTTCTACAGGATCAAGAAGCTCTGTTTATGAGATACTGTGTGCTACTTGCATATTGAAATTGAGAGTTTGAAGATTTGCTGTTTCCTGTTTTGTAAACCACAATCTAGTGATGAAAAAACATGTGTAGGTGGTGCTCCTGGTTTCAGTGCTCAGCCATTCTGTCATTTAAAAAAAAATAATCCCCTTAAGCTTCTTTTTAGATGTAGACTGGACTAGCATTTTTTAGATAAGTGAAGGAAGGGAAGGGATGCCTTAAGAGGGCATGGTTTTGTGAGCTCCTGGTAGCATGGCATTCTTCTCCTATGGGGCCTTCCAAAGAGTCTCGGGTTGCATACATGAAAGATATTTTTTGAAACTTTTGGAAAACCAGGGTATCTTTCACGTTTCAATGTTTCAATGCATTGTTGATCTCCCTTCAATTTTTTTCTACAGACTTCCTTCCCAAAACATTCCCTCTGCTGTTTGAATCCAAACCACAACCAGACCAGAAAGAAGGAGCACATGCTAACAATGTTCACAGATGTACCTTTGTCCCAACTCCTATCTGTAGATAGTAGAGTTAGACTGATCTCTGTAAGGACAGTATGCAATGACTGTCCATTAGCTGTGTGTGCTTTCAAAACATTTGGTGATCCTGGAGGAGGTGGCAGGTAGCAACTGCCTCTTTTTGCATGCTTGCAGTGCTCACTACATGAAGTCCTCATTAAAATGCTTTTATGGACAACATTCCTGCAATGTCAGTATTCCTGGCCAGTCATGATGCTCCTATTTCCCATGGAAATGGCTGCTGCTACTGGTCCTTTTTGGCTGGTAGGATGAATTCACTGAGTAATGTGCTTAAATTTCAGGGATTTCAGGAAGATTTCAGGTAAAATGAAGGCTTAAATTCAGATCCCACATTAGGGCCACAATAATTAGCTATTCTTCCTCAGATTTTAACAAAACTAATGTTTAGAAAGACTGTGGCTTGCTAGAGAGCAACAGGAAGCTTCTCTTCTGACTGAACATCTTCGGGATTTGCAGGTAGACTGGACCAAGTTTGTTGCCGTGAATGGGGCCACAGCTCATCCTCACTATGCACCTGATGGGACAGCTTACAACATGGGAAACTCTTATGGGAAATTTGGTAAGACTGGGTATGGCCACACCTGGCCTGCGGGTGCTGCAAAGAGTGGTTGTTGAAAAACTTCAGTGCCTGAAAAGACCTAGAAATTGCTGCTTCTCTTTGAGTCAAAATGATGGCAAATCTGATTAGCTCTTATTTCAAGGAGTCAATTTGAGCAAAAGGCTTTGCTCAGCAATTTGTATCAGATGCTTCTGATTTTGGCCTGTGATTATCCAACAGATAACCCAAATCTTCCGAGGTTTTATGGAAAACAGAAGAAAGATACTTAGTCACATCCGATGTTGATGCTTCATCCAAAGAACTTTGACATTAGATGCAAGTTTTTAAATTAGATTATTTGGCTTTTAATAAGAACAATAAGGAGAAAAAAAAACTGCCTGTTTTACAGTAAACTTGAAATTTCTAAGCTATGTTTTCTTCTCAAAATGAGAAGAACATTCCATTAATTTGAGATTAGTTACGCCTACGTGGCTGTTCAGAGCTGTCACTCACTGCTCGTTACAGAAAGACCCTCTTTTTCAGATACCTGAGCCCTATACCTAAGGCTTGTTTCAATTCACTGAACATTTGTTCAGTTTTGATTGTTTTTCATTCTTGCTGTTTTCATTTTCTTTTGGCTTTATCAACATCTAGCTTTACAGCACATGCTGTTTGCAGCTGGGCAGACTAAACATGTGATTATCATTCAGATATTTCCTTCATAGCTGCCCATGTGCTTGGAGTTAGTAAATGAGTCATCACCAAGGCTCAAAGCTTTCATTTGCTTTGATACACAAGCAATGAACTTGGTTTTATTCCTGATACTATTATTTTATGATTCTCTGAGTCAATGTAAAGAATGTATTACAGATGGGAAAAAATTGATGGCAGTTATCAACCAGACCGAGAAGGTCCTCCTACTTCATTTGACATCTTTTTTTGGTGATCATCCTTTGATTTCTTTACTGACTTGATAACTATTTCTTTTTGTTTGTTTTCTGCCCAGTTAATAATTACTATATTTCTACCTACACTACGGAAACAGAAAGGAACTGTGCCTGACTTTATTTTTGTGAATCTAGACAGCTTCACATCTCAGTGGTGCTGAACCCCCTTTTTTCTTTTCAGGGACTACATATAATATCATTGAGGTCCCTCCACAAAAGTCGAACTGCAATGAGACGTTAGAGGGAGCGAAAGTGTTGTGCTCCATTGCTCCAATGGATAGCATGAAACCCTCCTACTATCACAGCTTTGGTAAGAATGCTTCCTGTCACATACTCCTTGAATTTAGCCTACTGTGCAGCACAAGGGGCTGTTCACTGCCCTCTGCCTCAAGATATTTTTTGTTGTTTCATTTGCCAAGTTCTCTGATAATATCTTCTTCTCTCCCTTTTCAGGGATGAGTGAAAATTATATCATTTTCATTGAGCAGCCCATTAAGCTGAATCTATTGCGGATTATCACTTCCAAATTCCGTGGGAAGCCCATTTCTGAAGGAATAAACTGGGAGCCTCAGTACAACACTCGCTTCCACGTGGTAGATAAGCGCACTGGGAAGGTAGGTGGATCCTTGATCTTTCCAGCAGCTGTGCAACTGTAGCTGGAATCTTAGATCCCAAAAGAAGAGTGCTTGGTAGCAGCCACAGATAGTAATATGAATCAATGAAGAAGTTACCAGAGTATAAGCCTTGCAAGCACAGATGTGGATTTCTTAGGCCTGACTTCATGCATTTTCAGCTCCATCTTCCCAGCCCTAAAAGAACAGGCAGATGTAAGAAATCAGAGGTTCCCATCAGGCACTATTAAGTATAAAAGGGTCAGGCAGAGCCTGGAAATGATCCCTATCCATGGATGGGTGGAGCCATGGATAGATAGCACAAACATACCCATGACAGCAAGGAGTCTAGTCTAGGTATTGACTTTTTTTCATCTGGCTCTGCCTATGTACTAGCTTAAAGCAGCCATTCTGTAGCAACACAAGGGCATTAAACACATATCGAGGAAAAAGGGAGTAACAAAATGAGGGCAAGAAGAGAAAGTCTTGGAAGTGTGGCTACCATTTTTTGAGAGGAAAAGTCAATCTCTCTGTGGTCACTGTAGGTGCTGCCAGGGCAATGGTATACTAAGCCCTTTGTTACTTTCCATCAAATCAATGCCTTTGAAGACCATGGCTGTGTGGTCCTTGACCTGTGCTGCCAGGATGATGGGAAAACTCTGGCTGTCTACAAGCTTCAGAATATGAGGAAGAGTGGAGCAGATTTAGATCAGGTAAGATCTCTAAATTTGTGTTGCTTTGGATCTGCTGGACTCCATGCTGGCTGAGTTATTTTTCTAAAGTAAATTTTACGTTGGTGGAATGGAGAACATGATGGACAGAGCACAAAGCAGGAGATATGAACTAGAGAAAGGAACCCAGCTATACAGGACAGCTAACATTATGGTCCCTTGATACTCTGGTATTTTTCTCTCATTTTAAAGCTCTTAGCAGATAATCTCTATGGAGCATTTCCCTGAAACATTTTTTAAAATGAGCATGTGATACAGATCCCCATCAAGCAGGTAGACTGCACTTCTGTTTTAAAAATCTCTTTTCTAATGATACTCATTTTCCATATTCCCATGTAATACAAGGAAATATTTTTCCCCCAAGGAAGTATGCAAAATTAGGTTTTACTTTTGCATGGAAAAGGAAAAAGAAATTCTGCTATCTAAAGGCATTAGTTCAAAAAACCACCCCTTATTGTGTAAATCATAAAGCACAAACATCCAAGAAACCCCTGCATTGGTCCTCGTGCACTTCACAACAGCACCCTTCTATAAATAACATGTCCACCTCTTTTAAAAGCACTTTTTAAAGCCATGTAAGACTCAGTGTTTTACATAGGTCATCTAGGGGAGAAAGTGGGGGTGCCTTCAGTAGTGTAGATGTGTTTACTGGAAACCCACCGCATGGTGGGTGAAGGGCAGTTTCTGCAACATGTTCAGACAGATCAGAATTTCCTCAGTGATCTGACTGGAAGAAATTCAGTTCTAATCTGAAAAGTGCATTGCTGTGTCTCCACAGAGATGTTTTGCTTTGCTTTTTTTTTTCCCATTTTTTCCTCCAAAGATACAGTGAACATTAATTCAAGTACAGCAGAGTGTAAATACGGCCATTTGTTCTGCAAACTGATTCTAGCTTTTGTTCAGTCTTCTCTGAGCACAAAAGAGCTGCCATTTGATATTTGAAGGTATCTGTATGTGAGCATTAGGTCATGGTTTCCAATACCCATGTTTCTAAATTGGGTAGCCTAAACATTAAACGGTGCGCAGACATATGAGTGCAAGTCATTTCAAAACAGAGTTAAAATTACTCTGTACTCAAAGATTAAGGCATGCCCGAACATGATTTATGTCTTTTCTTCAAATTATGCTTAGTGCCTTTGGTTGTTGACTAACTCATAATTTCTCTGACAGAGCTCCTCAACCAATCAGCTTCTTGTGTCTATGTGAAACACAAAGCTTTAAAAATAGAGTATAGGAATTAACGTGATTAAATTGAAGTTTCACATCAAACTGGTTACATGTAAAGTAACTGAGAAACTCCAACACAGAGTCCCTGCCACTTATTTAATTTGGAAGGTTTCATATTTGAGAGTATTGAAGCCTGGTATAGAGAATTAAGTCAGATATTTCCTGTCATTTCACGGAGCACCAATGTTTATGCTCAGATAAATAGCAAGTGGTATGCTCAGAGTCCATATACAGCAATGGAAGGGACCCATAGGGAACTCCAAGTCCAACTCCTGGCTCCACACAGGACTACACAAAATGCCACTTTCCTCTCTTCATCACCATAACTTTCTGGCTCTATTACAGATTTTTGGGTCAGTAGCCCGAGCTTTCCCCCGTCGCTTTGTTCTCCCACTGAATGTGAATTCGGATACACCTGTGGGGAAGGATCTGAACCCTCTGTCTTACACGATGGCAAGGGCTGTGAAAGACTCAGATGACAAGGTATGTGTTAAAGACTTACATAACTGCACGTACAACTGTGGTGATTTGTTCATAACTAGGGTGGGACTTGGCGTTTTAGTACAACCACATTGCCTTATATGAGAAAGCAAGGGCAGACTGTCACTTATCAAAAATGCACAGGTGTGTTAACCACAATTGGTCAGATTTGAAGTTCTTCACTGACAAAGTGTCCCATGCTTTCACCAGTGAACAGAACTGTGCTTTGCTTTTAGCTTTGAACAGTCCTACAGCCTTAGGTGGAATAGAATATGTGTAGTTGCTTTAACCAGTCAGCTCTGCTGCCCAGTTTAAGCTAAACTGATGCTCCTGCATTACATACTTCTAGGTCTGGTGCACACATGAAAATCTTCACCCCGATGGCTTTGAAGACTTTGGGGGCTTGGAGTTCCCCCAAATTAACTATTCTCAGTACAGTGGTAGGAGATACCGTTATTTCTATGGGTGTGGTTTTCGGCATTTCATCGGAGATTCCCTAATGAAGGTTGATGTGGAGACCAAGAATTTCAAGGTGAGGTGAAATGAGGTTCTCTCTTGTCAGCACTGGGAGTCATTCTGCTCAGCTGGCTTCTAAGTTTTGTCACCTATGAGGCACTACGTGCTTTAGGTGTTGTTTGTTTTTTTCTTTTCCACAAGGGTGTGAGATGAGGTTCCTAATGTTATCTCTTACCTAGCACTCCTATCAAACAGGAGAGGATATCAGCTCAGTTTCCTAAATAGATGAGGAAACAGAAAGGGTTGCATAAAGACTATACATCTCTCCCAGGTCAGAGAAGAGTCACCTCTTACCAGACAGAATAGAAAATACCCACATAGCATAGTCAGCAGCACATATTGCCAGGGCAGTTATAGCTCAGGCAAGAAAGAAGGTTTAGCATCCCCACCATGCATGATTTAGGCTGTCTCCTTCATAAACAGAGAAATAATTTCCAAAGCTTTTAGCGTTAATGATTTTGGAACTTTCCCAGGGGCTTGAAGAAGTTAGGAATTCTTAGGGAATTCCTAAGGAATTCTTAGGCTTAGCTTGAATCATTTTGTTCTAGGTACTCATTTTACAATAAGAGTGCTCTCCTTCAGCTTGGTGCTGGGTGCCATGGCTCTGTCTGCAGTAAGGACAGAAGCTGTGCCTTTGGGTTGTGGTGGTGATAGATCTCTTCTGGCAAGGCATATCAGCTCTGCCTGGGCATGTCGTGGTGTGCAGTTGGTTGTGCAAGCTGGATGCTGGTGTTCTCCGAGCCTATAGCTGGTACCTGTGCCAGTACGAGCTGCTGGGTGGAATGAGCACCAGGAATCCTTTCACTGCCTGTTTGCACCGTGCTTGGCACAATGGGAGTTCTGTCACAACACTAGCATTCTGTTAGTGCAAATCAAAAGGATGACTCAAAAGGTTGAACTGTGGGTTCCCTGGGGCAGGAGATGTAATCGGGTTGCTCTGCATGAAGCTTTCTAACTTGCAGCTCTGCTAACTGTAGCAGACAAACATCATGAAATGAAACATGTCCATATGTTATTGTACTCAATAGATTTGGCAGGAGGATGGATCCTACCCCTCAGAGCCTGTTTTTGTGCCAGTGCCTAATGCCACGGCAGAGGACAGTGGAGTCATTTTGTCTGTTGTGATCTCCCCTGATGAGGTAACTTATTCTATTAGTTCATGCAAGTCACACAGTTCTAAACCACAAGAGTTTAAGGTTCTCTGGCAGATAGATCTCTTGTTTAAGTAAAGCACATCTGTCCCCATAAAATATTTCACTAACATTAGCAAACTAATGGGCAATGTAACACATCATTTGAAAAGAGAAAAAGAGAAAGAGTGTCTGCCTATAGCTCTAGTTGATGCAGATATTTTTTCTTCTTTGATATCTATTTCCGATCCAACTCAGATTTATGAAGTCATACACCCAACAAATACCTAATCCAGGGTATCTTCTCAGAAAAGCACTCAAATGGGCTGTAAATAAACAAATAAATTTTCAGAAAGAATCAAAGTTCAAAAGCATTTCCCACACCCTTTATTAGTATTCATCATGCACTTTACATCTGTCTTTAAACTCTCATGACTTCAGGTACTAGTCAATGGATACACTGCCATACATAACTTTGACATTTCCACCATTTGTTTCATTTTTGCTACACAAAAATTACTTACTTCATTACATTTACTTCATTAGTTTTTCTTAGCATTCATTTGCTGGAAAGGTATTTTAAATATTTTGCCCTTCATTGTTTTAATAAAAATCCAGCTTAATAGATATTTTAGGTGAAGGAAAAAATGCATGCTAATGGTCATTTAATTTTTTTGGTAATTAGACCCATGGTAGATTTCACAATAAAGAGTTTAAACTCTATTTTAAAAGCTAAACTAGATGGAATATTTGCCTCAGAATTATCTAGATGTTCAGTAGGTCAATTATATTAATGAAACAGACAAGTCTGAAGATTATTGACTAATGTCAATAATTATGTCAATGTGTTAATGAAGACACCAATGCCCCCCTGTCCCCTCTCTCCTCAGGATAAACACAAAAATCAAGTTGGAGATTTCATGGGTCCATTGCTGATAGAGGTACAGTTATCACAGTTACAGCCACAATTATAGAATTAACATAAACTTATAAGAGATCCTGATATAGTAAGGAAGCACTGGGCATGTGCTTCCCATGGTGTGTATCTGTAACTGTCAAGCACAGCTAGGTGAACCTCAACTGGGAACGTCAGTGCTGGTGTGACACCTGTGACCAGCAGTGCTCCTGGTGGTGTTGTGTTACTGGCTTAGTCAGTATGGTTTGGTTGTGCATGGCTGTGTGGGCTCCTGAGTGTGGGACAGATGTAGTGTTTTGGAGAGCGGAAGGATTTCAGCTTGGCTATTAATTCTGGCTTTCTTCTCACCCTGCAGAACCGAAGTGCTTTCCTGCTTGTCTTGGATGCAGAGACCTTCAGAGAACTGGGGCGAGCAGAAGTCCCAGTCCAAATGCCTTATGGATTCCATGGGATCTTCAGTTCTCGCTAAGAGAAAAGAGAGCCACCTTCTATAACTCAGGGCAAGGTCAGGCTCAGAAAGAAACCTCTGCTTCCAACTTTACATTATGCCAAGGCTGAAGGAACCACTTCTCCATCATAACCTCTAAGTTACTGCCGCGTTCCTAACAATTCACAGCAAAGGGTCTGAGGAAGACAGAAGCTCAATCGCTCTAACAGCCCACTGCTTTTTCTTAGTTTTCTGTCTATCTTGCTAGAACACATAGCAGCAGTTCAAAAGGCTGCCATGCATAAGGCTTGCAAGGGAGAAAATGGAAACTACCACCACCTTGTCTGGGTAGCAGTGTGCTCTGAAGGGAAGAGAGTAGTAAATGTCAGCTGCAGTGGCTTTGGCTGAAAAATGTAAAGCACAAAAAAGGAATAAAACCAACTACTAACATCTAGGCCCAATGTAGGGTTGTAATTATGCCCCCACTGCACAAAGGTTGCCTTCAGAGAGCAACAGAGAATAGCTGAAAATGCTTACGAGCTGTACTCGTAGTGCTGTCTCTGTACATCAGCTGTGCCCTCAAATAAAACCCTGTGACATTTCTTCCTTTCGCTGTGGCCCCAGTGACAGCAGCAGGGTGGGGAGACACGTCGTGAGGGAATCTCCGGTACGGGTCCCGGCGCAGGGAGGGCTGAGGAGCTGGTCATGGCCGCCAGAGGGCAGCCGGCCCCGCTGCGGAGCTCCGAGCTCAGCTGCTTCGGGGGTAGGAAGTGGTTTCGCGGAGCTCTTTATTTCTTCAGGCAGCGCTTCTCCATAAGCGCCAAGGTGCACTTGTTATCTGGGAGGGAATCTGGCAGGCCCACCCCTCTGCACTGGTGCCTTAGGAACACAGCTTGCAGCTGTCGTTATTTATAAGAAAACAAACAACAAACTTGGTCGAACAACTGGCCTGTGCGAGGATGAATGAAAGGGTGAAAGCCATGGAAAAGGAAAAATAATGTGCACAGTGCACAAATGTTGAGTCTGTGACCACATCCAGAAATGGGAGCTTCTGCAGACAGCACTGGGAGTGTGTTTGCATGTAGGTCTGCAGGTCTGCACAAAGCTCCACTAAGTCATAGAATCATTAAGGTTGGAAAAGACCATCCAGTCTAACTATCCACCTACCACCAATGCTGCCCACCAACCGTTTCCCTCAGTGCCACATCTCCACGTTTCCTGTACACCTCCAGAAATGTGACTCCACCACCTCCCTGTCAACCTCTGCCAGTGCCCAATCACTTCTCTTGAGAAGATGGTTTTCTTAATATCCAGTCTGCCTCCCCTGCAGCAACCTGAGGTCATTCCCTCTCATCCTATCGCTGTTACCAGGAGAAGAGGCCGACCCCCACCCCCCCACAGCCTCCTGCCAGGGAGTTGCAG